GAAGAGTCATTCACTCACGAGGGAGTTGCTGTATTTCACAAAACTATTTTCTGTTTTCAAGGGAGAATTCGCTAAAGTTGATAAAAGAAATATTTGTTTGCTACTTATTTAATACATTTTTAGTGACATTTTCATTTAATATTTAATGAGCATTAGAAAACTAGTTTATTTATTTAAGTTATTGGGACTTATAGATCCACCAGTTGTGTAAATCTTCTGAGAAATATTATCAGAATTCAGCAGTTGAGTGTACAGAGAAAATATTCCCAATCGAATAAGTATTTGCAGCATCTAATTAATTAATAGATTCACCATTTGTGTAAGTCCTCCGGGTAATATTTTCCGAATTCAGCAGTTGAGTGAACGGAGAAAATATTCCTATTCGATTAAGTATTTGCAGCATCTAATTAATTAATAGATTCACCATTTGTGTATTTGCAGTATCTAATTAATTTTTTTTGTCGAATCGTGCAGCAAAGTCCTAAGGATCCTAAATGACTTGACAAATGACAGCTTTTATAGACTTTATAGCACTTTCTTAAAAGCCTTCGTCAAGTTTTTAAGCTTTAAGAGAAAATATATTGAGCTAATGAGGCACATCATTAATTGATTTCCTTCATGTTATAATTATATTAGATTATTTATCTAAAAATGTTCCATGTTTCTAAGATGGGCTAAAAAATTTAAATAACAAATATTTATATATAAATTGATCAGCCAGTTTGCCTTTGAAAATTGTCGTGAGTTATAGTTTTATTTATGTCAAGTCGAAATGTGGTAAGCTCTGCAGAAATTCGTGGTACTCTACAGTTTTTCACGCACACACACAGCTCTAATCTGCACCCTTACCCGCTTACAAGGAGAGACACCGCAGGGCAATCTGCGGCAGCAGTCGAATGTTATTAAAGGGAAAGTTTGTTTGCCCTAACGCCATAGCGTTTAACCCCCTGCTCGCACTCCCGGAAGGACTGTGATATCTGTGCCTCAGGTTAGTAGCATTATTAAACTGCCGCTGCCTTAAAAGAGGGCGTTCGGCCAACAGTCAATAAAGACGGGCTCACAGCCTTACCCGCTGATTAAGAGCTCGGCAAACAAATCAGTTGGCTGGCTGGTTGCCTATTTGTTCAGTCTGTGTCTAAACAGCGCACTCGACTGTTTTTTAAACTGTTTGCCGAGCGCGAGCGTTACGCGATCTGGGATATGGGATACGGTGTACTTGTATTGGAGGCCTGCTCATGTGGTCTGAAGCTTGTAGCCATGACGTGTAATTAACATTTCAATTTGATGCTCAGCCGCTTCAGTTGTTTGCCCATTCGACATCATCGGGCAAATGTATCTCTTGTGGTTCGCTGCGTCCCCGAATGCTGCTCCGGCAATAAATAAATTGTGTTTCGGGCCCTTCTTCTCTTCTTTGTTGACATATGCAAATTTTTTGGCTGCACGCGTACAAGAACATTTTACGAGATTTCTGCCATGTATCGCGTCTGCTGTAAATATTTGAATAGCGGGGTAATGGTTATATTCCAGCCACTAAAGTGGTTGTCAGGCTCGGTTGTTTAAATGAGTTTTTGATACTCGCATTTAAAAGTCCGAATAGAGTTCTGCATACAGCAAATCTACTATATCTACGATTTGACAGGTCGTCGATAGTATCATCTCTCTTAATCACTAGTTTAAGACCATTGGACTACAATTTTACAGCACGAGCTGATGCGACGCTATTGCCAGTATATTAAGAAAAGTGTTCAGTTTTGGCAAGAAGCGATAAATCTAGTAAATACTAAAGGTATATACATATTATTATTTTTATTTTATGTAATAAATCAACAAAAATCAGCTAAATTTTTAATGTTTGAATCATATGGAAATGTTATTGTTAAACGACTTCAAAAAAGCAGGAGGCGTTCAATTCTTCTGTATTTTTTTTTAACATTTTTTAAACGCTTAGGAAAACCAGACTGCTCGCCAAGTTAAGAGCCTAGCGACGGAAATAAAACGTCCACTATGCACATTTTGTGTCGTCTCTAATATGCTTGTTTCCTAATTCCTCTAAATGAATATTAAAGATCTTCGCGACGTTGTTAAGTATTCTTATGTATTTATCAAATAAAATGTTAAAATAAATAAACTCTAACATTCCTGGCACATCATATAGTTTGGAAAATACGCATTAGTGTGCTTTGCAAGGAATTACAAAAATTTTCGTCCCGTTGCCAAATCTCTATTTATTTATATAAAGCTAATAGATCAGCTTTGTCTCAAAATATATATCCGCCAAGTAAATACCAGTCAGATGGAAAAACTGACATTTTAGCGTTGCACTATAATTCTGGAATATGTCTATCAAATAATTTCGTCACGCTGCGAGTGCTATGTAACTCCCTTTTTCGAGGTTTCAATAAAATTACAAACATTGTGCCTTTGATTATGAATTAATAGATTTATTTTGATATCCCATATAGTATTGGTAATTTAAAATCACACAAAAGAATAGTTGTCATTAATAATACAATTTTTTATAGCGTTGCACAATAATTAAGGAATATGTCTATCAAATAATTTCGTCACTCCCTTTTTTCTCGTTTCCATAAAATTACAAACATTGTGCAATTGCTTATGAATTAATTGATTTATTTTGATATCCAATATGGTATTGGTAATTTAAAATCACACAAAAGAATAGTTGTCATTAATAATACAATTTTTTATAGCGTTGCACAATAATTAAGGAATATGTCTATCAAATAATTTCGTCACTCCCTTTTTTCTCGTTTCCATAAAATTACAAACATTGTGCAATTGCTTATGAATTAATTGATTTATTTTGATATCCAATATGGTATTGGTAATTTAAAATCACACAAAAGAATAGTTTTCCTTAATAGTACAATATGATATTATCAATAGCTTTAAGATATGAATTGATATGGTGTTGCTATGATATTCTTTAGGTTTTATAGTCAACATTAAAACTACAAATCCGCACTAAGCCATGGAAACTCCGGTTGGTATGTGCGTCAAATGAATCGTCTGTATTTCCAGATGCCTAGAGTCCATGTAGTGCTCAGTATTCCGAGACCTCTGCCATTTCCTCTGCGAAGCACCCAGTCGAAGGACACGGAATTCCGTCGGCGAAACGGCCAGGAATGGAAAGCGCGCCCTTTCCGAGCCATGGCAGCAGCTCTGCGTGCCGCACCCCCGGAACGTGTTGTGGTTTGTGTTTGGCGCCAATCGCAGGACCCGGGCTTTTATAGCCGCCATTGGGCGAAAGCTTCCGCCAAAGTTTCGTGTTGAGTTTTCGCCCGTCGAGTTGAGTTTCGAGCGCTCTGACAAGGGCAAGATACAAATGTTGCTGCCTAATTGGATGTAAGTACATATATATGTACTGAACGACCCCCATATAGCACACATTACTAGACTGGGTAAGCAGGTAGAGCTATATGCATATATATGTACACATGTATATACTCACACGCTTTCATATTTATATATCCATGGGCTGCCATTGTATTTTGTCTGACCTTACCCATAAAAACAAGGATATAGTTTATCATCCATTGGCAACAAGGAGGAGCCAAATCTTGAATCGATTCCGCCAGTCTCTTCAGCTGCAAATGAACAATGTCTGTGGAAGAAAAATAAAATTTAAATAAAATTAGATGCCAGCTCTTCCATCGTCTGACTGTCTGTCTATGTGCCCATGCGCCTGCCTAAGCCTTTGAGCAGCGTCCTGTTTCTGCGCTCTTGTTGTGTAAGTGATTAAAGCCATTAACGAAATTATCAAGGATTATAAAGATTTGTCCACATTTCGATGCGCAGCCACGCCAACGTTGAGGAAGACAATGCAATATACCGTAATCCACGGGCTTCAATTAATGGAGTGTCGACAACGGCCTTCCCCCTCCATGCCGGAGGCATTATGCCAAAGGGGTTGACGGGCCCACCACCCCGCACAATGGCACATGGGACCGTTTTCTGGTGGGCGCTAAAAACCGTAAAGTTGGAAGACAATGCAATGCATTAAAAGCCGCTTGAAACTCTTTAGCAAGGACGGAGTTGACTTCCTGCTGGGAAGTTAGATTTTTATTAAGAATATACTTTGAATTGCGACTAGTTTCGATGGCAGCATAGAATGGGAGAATGTCGACATTAACAAATGTTTTCAAGAAGTATACAACTCACAATTTTTATTAACTAATTAGATCAAATCATTTCTCAGCTTCGAGATCTTTTTAAAACAAAGATCACAGAGCTTGCAGATCCTGTTGCTTATCCTGTTAACTTTCTTTTATAGGTTTCTACAATGACTTAATAAACACAAATCAGTACCTTCTACGCCGCAAACTGGGCCTTGTAAAAAGCTGAGAAGAGCTTTAAAGAGACAATGTTGGTTTAAAAAAAAAGTATGAGAGTGCCAAGAAAGTTGTTGGTCTTATAAATAAGAAGTGTTCAAGCCTAGAGACTTATAGTAAGAAAGTTATAAGATATTATTGTAATATTTAAAAGCCTCATTTCGACAATGTTGTTTATGAATACATTTATCCTTACTTATTTTTCAAAGTAGAACTCAAATCATATTAGTCCTTTAAGTAAAAAAAAAAAAAATATAGTACACAATATATAGTATTGTAGTGTATTTCAAGCTTTTTTCATTCACTACCCACAATATTTTGACGAGTTTAGTGAACTCTTTGCTGCTTCAGAACAACCCAGTGGGGTCAGCAATTGCGCTGTCAGCCGTGAATGTGAAAAATGAATAGAGTTTGTGACCAAATCTGGTAATGTGAATGAAAATCATGAAAAATATCTGATAAGAGCGCCGTAAAGTGCCCCGAATAATTTATCACAATCAATGTATTTGTGCCCGCTGGCTAGTCGGGAAAGAAGTAAAATGTTGTTGGCAAGGGCAGTGGAAATTATTCCAGACAAATACGAATATTTATTTCATTGCAAGAGAAAACTGTCATAAGTACAAACAAAGCCAAAACAACCACAATCATACAATAACTTTATTTTATACGAAGATAATGGAAGCTGAACAGCCAACAGTGCCTACAGAAGGTGTTGTGTCTGAAGAGCCAAGAACAGAAGCGGTATTGGAAGAGCAACATAAAGAAGAAGATGGAGGAAATGACTCCAAAAAGAAAGAGAAAAGAGTTTCATTTGAACCAAAAGATGAAGACACAGTTGAAGAGGCTAATAAAGAAACTAATCAGGAACCGAAAGATGGAGTCCAGCCAAAAGATGAAGAACCGTCTACAGTAACGAAAGCTGTGATGTTTGAAGAGGCAGAAGCACAGGGGGCCGATGAGATGTCAGTGGATACAGTCTTAGATGCAGTGTCAGAGGTAGGCTCAAGAAATGAGGAACAGGATGCTGAAGAAAAAGAAAAAGAAGAGATACCAGAAACTTCAGAAGAGCACGAAGGAGTTGAGAATGTAGAAAGAAAACTAACGGTTGAAGAAATCGAAGCCATAGAACGTCAGAAACGCAAGCAGAGGCTACAAGAAAACCAGCGAACAAGAGAAAGAATCATCAAGGCGTTCGATGCCTACAAGCAAGAGGCTAATGAAGCTCTCACAACAAGTACATCCAAGGAAGTATTTCAATCAAACGTTAATTCACTGCTTCAGGGCACATATGATGAAATGATGTTGGACGAACTTGAAGATGCTGAATCGGTTTTATCGCTCGCCTCATTAGTCTCAATTCCCTCCAACGCAGTGACTCACAAGGACGAATTTTTAGATAATTTTGGGGAAATGATTCACGTTTCGGACATATCGTTGGATGTGGAGTCCGAGGAAGAACCTGTTCTATTGACACCCGTATTAAGCAAACGGCGTACTGAAGAAGATGGCCAATTTGTGGACCCGTTAACCGGTGAGCCAGATTCCGAATCAGAGGAAGAGGAAATAGAAACTGGACCCGAGCTAGACAAAGTAGACATACCAGAAGAGGAGCAGGAACTAGAATCAAGCGATTTGGCAGATTTCGAATCGGCGATAATCCTCCCAGCTGTTACGTTCGCGGACGAAGCCGATACTTTTGATGTATTGAAAGGGTTGCAAGAAACGATTCCCATAGAGGATAGGGAATCGGGGCCCACATATGATGAACATGCCAGGAAACTCAAGACTGAAAGGATTGTAAGAGATTTTATTCATAATATGATAAATCGTGTGGTCAATCATGTGGAATATATGGATCCACGTGAAGTATTATCAAAAAGCCTAAGCATACCGAAGCTATATAGCGATCTGGAGAGAGTACTTAGTGAATATATATCGGAAAGGATGTTTAATGAGTGCATTGGTTCAAAAGTCGTCGAATTCTTCAGACGCGCCAAAATGTTTCGCGCCCTTTCTGCCCTTCATCCCGAAACAAAAGTGCAGGAGCGAGAGAGATATCGTAAAGCCCTTCTCCAGCTCGACCACTTGAAGAAAATCGAAAAGTCTACCAAACACCAGTGCAGTTATCTGATGGCCAGCGTTTGGATGGATATCACGAGTAACCAAACAATTTGCTTCGATACGGACGACCGTTTTTCCGAGGTGGTACGAAAAACATTGCTGCGCAAGGACTCGGAGCATCTAAAGCGGGTCATTGATGTGGAACTGCGCCGCATGATAAATGTACGGAATCAAATCAGCGATGTGCGCATCAAGCTAATAAGCAGAAAACACACGGAGGGTCGCCTTCATGAGGTGAGCTGTCTTTTAAAATCCAAATATATATGATTACTAAAAGCTGGGGCTATCAAAATTAGTATGTAGACTTGTCTTATCTATGTATTTGCAAAGCGAGTTCATCACAAATCATATACATATAGTCATATTTTTCATAGCATTTATATTTCCTGACTGACTCACCTATTTAACTGATCTTTCTGTACTCTTATTTATGTAGCGCTCGGCCAAATTTGATCAAATTACCGAAGATCTAACCATGAATCACTTCCTTGCCGTGTATCGCGAAGTTCAGACTATGGATGAACTGGCAGAGGGTAAGTCGCATGGCACTTTCAACACCTAATCTAAGCCATATAATATATTCACGAATCTAGAACAAAACCTCGAGATTACAAGGCTACACAGTCAGGTTAATAAGGAGCTCCACATGCTGATGCATATGCGCGAGAAAACGGACATGATCAAGGAAACGCTTGGGCACGATAAACTCAATTTACAGAAAAAGATATGCGAAAAGGAGGCAATGCGTAAGCAATTATATAGGGCCGAGATGGAACATGGAAATAATAAAAAAATTAAAATGGAAATACATCATCAGGGCGGCTTACTGTTCAATCCTAAGCTGATGTACGATTATGATAAGACCATGGACTATGTGAACGGAAAACGCGCCTCTGTGCAGAAATTGAAGAGAGTTATGAGACACTTGGAACAGAGGATCCGTAATGTCGAAGCCAAACTCCCAATTGAACCAACCAGGAAAGTTTGATTTTATAGTTCTTTGATCTGTTGGCTTTCCACGTTGAAATTCATTGAGATTACTTGTTACATAAAATCAAAATAAACCCTAAAACACATAACACTAAGTTATACTCAGTATGAATATTTATTATTATACTCTGTACATGAAATGTACAGAAGTATATTAGGTTTGCGGGAGCTGAAAGTGTAACAGGCACAAGGAGGCGTGGCAGACCCCATAAAGTATATATATTCTTGATCAGCATGACGAGACGAGTCGATCTAGCCCTGTATGTCTGTCCGTCTGTCCGTATGAACACCTGGATCTCAGAGACTATAAGAGCTAGAGACACCAAATTTTGCACAAAGATGCCTTATGTGTGTACGCTGTGCAAGTTTGTTTTATTTTTTTGATTTTTCCCCCCACTTCCCCCCTATGGGGGTTTTACCGATTTTCCATTCGTATAATCGCCTATATCTCGGAGACTATAAGACCTGGGTACACCAAATTTTAGTCCAAGATGCCTTATGTGAATACGCAGAAAATGTATGTTTTGGAATCTCCCTCCCTCCCCCCTCTCCCCCGCAAATCGTAACTCCCGTAATTCTTGGAATTTCGAACTCAAAACTCGAACTTGGCAAATACCTCCATTTAGTTATTATAAGTCCGCAGATGTTGTTGTTATTACTGCTTTGCTCAGGCAAAGGAGACATACACAGACACACACAAACACACACATACACGCATAATTATTCTACACATATGTACAGAGTATATCAAAGTCGGGATACACGACTTTAGCTTCTCTACTTGTTTTAAATTGTGATATTGCTTAGTATTGTAAGGGGCAATCATTTCTAGAGGCTATTAAATGACAAACTAGCTATCTTTCTAGATAGCTTATTTACAAACTCATTATCTGGAAACCTCATTGTGTTGAAGGTTTCCAAATATGATGTGTTTCTAAGCATCTAACTCCTCTTTGGAACCTTCTTCTGTGACAGGTAAAATATCAATTACATAAAAAGAATACGGATTTGTCTGCAACGTGTGTTCGAAGAAGATGCTTCTGGTTGCATCCCAACTGCGCGGCTTCTACAGAAGATGATCTTGCGATAACATTCTTTGCCAAACCCAATAGTTAGAAGCACAATCGAATTAATTTCGGAATTTATCTGAATAAAAATGTACAGGAAGCATTAACAAATGTTTTCATTTTAAGTCGATTTAATAAACTAAAATAGAATCCAAAAAAACATTACTAAAAATCTATTCAGCAGGCGGTTGATTAAAACTGGAACTACATAACGTTTGTTGAGATATATTCTAAATATGATTTTGACATTAATACTTGAATTGGCACTTGGCAGTCAGCAAATCAAATGAATCACATATATTAATTAATGCACCCGTCCTATACTTGTATACTATAAATACAGAGAATTTCGTTGAGCTGCTGTCTTTCCAACATTAAAAACATAAAAACAAAACAAAACTGCTTCCTCCCTAGCAGTGCGACAGAGATTCAAAGGGCATGATGTAACCGTTGGGCATGACCAGGAAGATGATAACCGGACTTCCCTCCTTTTCGCAAGGTGCCTTCGATGAGTCCGAGTCCTTGTACACCTCGTACACCTTGCAGCCATTGTCCTGGCACACCATGCGCGTCCACAGCCAGCGCTGTCCGTCGGCTCTTGGCTCGCAACGGGAAGTCACTTTGCTCTTCAGCCGGCGAACAGCCATCGAGCACATGGAGAGCGAACGCTTCATGCGGTCCGTGAACGAAGGTCCGCCACCATCGGACCGTTTGGTCTTAGGACACATATCCACTGGATTTGCAAAGTCCACGCGCGGCGTACGCTGACGAGGAGGTGGCGAGCACTTCGTAACCGATGGCTTCAGGCAAGGCGGCTTTGTATTACAGACGCTCAGCGTGGAGGAACCACAGCCCCGTGAGACGCAGGGCACGGCACATTTTGGCTTGGACTTGGGCGTGCAGCCAGAAGACTTATCCTTGGCGCAAAAGAGACTGCAAACCGAACAGCTGCTGGTCGCCTGCGCAGAACAGGCCGGTGGAGGACAGCCCACCGATGTGACCGAACTACAATTTCCCGTTTCATTCGAAGGAGCTGTGATTTGCGGAATAAATGCATTAAATGGTTGGAGCTGCTTCACCTCTTACCCAGCTTGGCCAGATCGAGCATACGCAGGATTTTAGTGGCACCTGCATAGTAGAGAATGCGATCAAGCGCCGACATGAGTGCTTCGTCCGGATACGGACCCAATGCATCATAAACGAGGGGTTGTTGCAATTTTCTGAATACGGCCACGGGTTGGGGGGAAGTGCTGCATCCACAGCAGATTTCCTGGTTGGGACAACAACTCATTGCAGTTTTATATGTCTCTGTTTTGAGGTTTTTTCCTAAAATATTTAATAGCTTGCTGGAAGTAATGAACATTAAATGCTCTGTGAATGCTTAGGCTCCTAAGATTTATTTACATTTCCATTCAAAGTCGTCCTATCCCATGTACAAATACAGCGACCAAGTAGATCCCCTCAAGTGCTTAGTCCTTAGTCCTTCTAGTATTTACTTTTAACACCTCCCCTCATCGGTGCACAGTGACACAAATCGAAAAAACCTCCAGTTTTGGTTAAAATGGCGCCCCTTTAGTCATTTATAACAAAACTCTTTAAGCCTAAATCGCATATAACTCTCGCAAATTGTTGGAATTACAATTCAAAACGATAGCAAGAAAATATGTTTTCAAACATAACTTTAATTGAATTCTAATAGCTATTGGAGAAATTGCTCCAACTACTCCAACAACTATCAACGAAAGTAAATTAAGTAAAAATATTGCGGAAATAAATTGTGAAATTTCTGGTAAATTAAATAAAAATATTGTGGGCGCCCTCCTCTGCGATTCTCATACCAAGTACCTAAGCGCTGGCTAATCGAGAATTAAATTGTGTGAAATTAAATTGTGAAATTTCAAAAAAAATTAAATTAAATAAAAATATTGCGGCCGCCCTCCTCTGCGATTCTCATACCAAGTACCTAAGCGCTGACAAATCGAGAATTTATTTGTGAAATTAAAAAAATTAAATAATAAAATTGTGGATTTAAATTGTGAAATTGCTGATAAATTAAATCAAATAAAAATATTGTGGACGCCCTCCTCTGCGATTCTCATACCAAGTACCTAAGCGTTGACAAATCGAGAATTTAATTGTGAAATAAAAAAAAATTAAATAATAAATTGTGGATTTCAATTGTGAAATTGCTGATAAATTAAATAAAATTATTGTGGCCGCCCTCCTCTGCGATTCTCATACTAAGTACATAAGCGCTGGCTAACCGAGAATTAAATTGTAAAATTTCTGAAAAATTAAATAATAAAATTGTGGATTTAAATTGTGAAATTTCTGATAAATTATCATCATTTTGTAAAGTTGACGTTGAATATCGAGCCACTGTGGCGAAGCTAGCCGGCAGATGTCAAAGGTGCGATATCCGACTTAACGCCGAGCGATGCTGCTCGACAAAAGATAAAATTTCTATTAAGGAAATGACAAAAATTGCTCGTATTGTGCCTGAAAGGCGAGGCTCGGCACAAGGATATTTAACTTAATGACGCAAACAAAGGCGCCGGGCGCAAATGACCAGCGTTGAATTTTTTTTAGCTTAGCCATTCGTTTAGCTTCTGCTCTTTGCCCCCTTGTCCTTGTCTCTGTGCCCCTTCCTTTTCTCCTTTTCATGATGTAATTACGAGGACAGTTTCCGCTTCTCGGCGCTGATTTGAACTATTATGTCTACATTCTCTCTGGTTAGTCTATTCTTTGCGCTTCCTGTTTGCGCATTTGATGCGCTTTTAATGCCATATCCTGACCTGACCTGAGCTGAACTGAACAATTTATCTGATTTCGGCAGCAGAAATGTAATTTCCGCACGCAACCCTTCCATCCATCCAACAATAAATAGAGTTGATGGTCGAAGTCAACGCGCACACACACATACGTTCCAAACTTCGTTTCGCATCGATATATATCGTATGTATACGTATATGTGTATGTCGTGCGTCGCATAATCATATTCATTAAGGCATGTGACGTGTGCTCCTGCGATTTGGTGGCAAAGGATAGAGCTGTGCGTGAAATAAATGAAGTTGTCTCCACTCACGCGTTCACGATGGCACGAAGTCGTTAATTTGTTACGAAAGTTAGACGAAGTTTGTTTCCTTTATTTGACTTACATCGTGAACTACGCACTATATTTCCCCTAAATAGTCTTTTCAGTGCTTAATAATGCTTATCTACTACTTAAGCATCATTTTTCTAAGGCATGGTTATTACTTTAAAATCCTCAAATGGGCTTTCTTCGGCAAGATATATACTATATAAATATATGCTGTTATTCTTCGATTGTTGTATTCGTAAGTACTATCAATTATTCTGGAGTAGAAACGTAGCCAGATATGTAGTAAGACTATATATGCTTGATCGTGAGTGAATTTTTGTCACGCGGGCATTTCTAGTTGAGGATAGCTTCGAATGTGACGCCCACCTGTTCTCACATGGGGTTGCTTTCTGGTTTTCCACGCTCGCCGCCTGCCGTTTACTTTGATGACAGATTATTTTCATTAGCAAAGCAACGCTGACGCTGTCCATTTGGGGGTCTCACGTGCCACTCGCGCCACAAAGACGATGGAAAAACGAAAAATTATTAACGTTAATTATTATTTTCATGCTGGCCGCTATTATGTAAAACATGACAAAGTACACGACTGCCGCCCCACACGAAGTGGAGCGGGGGCTGCGGTCACCCTCGCAGATGTTGCTCCGGGTCCTTACAATTGGTGTCCTCAATTTCCTGACTTTGTAGTTAGATTTTTGCCTGCCAAATCGGATTTCATTCATTGCAGCTGCAAAGCTTTGATAAAAAAAATAAACGAATGGAAAAATGTGCATATGTTCGAGAGTTTGTTTCGTTGTGGTTGATGAGCTGTCATATCTGTAAGTGTGTGTGTGTGTGCGTGTGTGTGTGTGTGAGTGTGTGGAGTCACAATCACTGTGAAGAGGCTTACGGCAGACCCAGGGGAAATCGCTTAAGCCGTTCATAATGAATATTACGACTGTATGTTTGGGTTTGTGGAATGAGTGCCTTTGGCACAACAATTTGCCAGTTGCTTTTTTTTGTTGTGCAAAAATCATTACATATATGCACCCACACACATAGTAAGCTGTATGAGCTTTCTTTTTTGCATTTCCAATTTATTTGAAAGAGTTCACAAAATTTACATCCCATATAAGTATAGTATGCATAGGAGAAGAATTCTCTATGTTTATTTAGTAATTATTTAATAAAAATAAAGGATTTTTCTCTTCCATACTTAGAGCAAGTTTATTACAAACCTATATAGCCATACTAAATAGATATGTCATAGTAAACAATAATTGGGTAATTATAATTAAATCTCGTTATTATAAACCTCTCGATATTCTAAAGTTGCTTCAAAATCGGTGCAGTCTATTATATAGCTGACATAGAAACAAATGCTGCAGAAATCAAGCCTTAGTACACAAAACTTTGATGCTTTAGCGTCGGTTCCTAATATAAAGTTTTAATAAAATCAATGAATCAATATAATATAGCTACCATAGGAATAATTGCAATGACAAAGTTTATTTTAGTTGAATAGCTGTAGCAAGGAAAAAGGTGGATATTTACAAAGTTGTCCAGTTAACAAAAACAAGTCATTATCTCACACGCAGTTCATTTCCTCTATAGAAATAACAGCTGCTTCGTCAACAACATACAAAGCTGTTTGGTTAAAAATATAGTATGTAGGTAGCTGGCTACTATCAGTTATGATGGCATAACGTGGCCTCAAGCGATCTACTCAAAAGCTTAAGCGCCATGGCAGCGGGAAGCACCTCAAACAATCCCACAAATGTTTGGCACTAAGTATTCCCGTTTGCTTTTATCGAGAAAATTGCGCAATTTTCATGCAATCAATGCGAAGCCAAAGAGTGATGGAAAGTGGGGGGAAACTACAAGTGCTCTCTGGGCAACACACACAATCGCTGCGTTGCCATGCAAGGACGTCGACAATGTCTGTCGATTGTGCTGCCTGTTAAATCGTGTGGAAGCTGATATGATTATGCGTACCCATAGTTACACTCTTTGTTGATGTACACCGAGAATTCCTTGTCCAGTCCCGCTCCGGCTCCCGCACTCGCTCCCGTTGCTGTTGCCATGCCATTTACTTGTATGCGAGAATGCAGGCAGCAATTAGCGTTGGGAGCTCTAAAGCTGCAGCCCACAACAATCCTATTAAGTGATTTAAAAAACATAAGCATCGTACTTAGTGCTCCACAGCTGCAAACTTAAAGGCACAGCATTAAGAAGATTAATTCCGCAAAGCTGTTGTTATTTTTTTCCACATACAGCCCCCAACCATACGCTCACAAATCTCAGATAACATTATGCATCATTGTGTCGCACACACAAACGCACACACACACAAGTTTGACAAATCTTTGGCAGGCAGAACAAAAAAATAACAAAAAAATTGGAACAATTTCACATTTTGAGTTGAAATGTGAAACCCCCAATCGATTTGCCAAAAGCTACAGTGCTGGAATCATTAAATAAAAAAGTTTGCGCACACACACTCTCCCACATGTGTGTGCGTCCCATTTTACAACAAAACAAATGCACACAAGGAGTTTGATAAAGTCGAGCAAAAGAAGTCCGCAAACACGAAAAGCAACAACAAGGAGAAAAAATCGCAATAAAAATCTTACAAAAGCAACATCCCTCGGCCCGCCTATCGACGCATTTAATAAAGCCCAAATGGAATGACTTCGTTTTTTGCTTCATTCTCAGATTCAGAAGCGTAACCGCAACACGTTAACGGTTTCGGTTTCACTTTGTGATTTACAACAATAACAACAACCGTTGTGGACGGACTGACTTTGTCTAACCGCCCTTGTCGGTTGAGTTTCTTGTATCCTAACTGTGCATTGCTCTCTGGGCGCGCTCATGTGTGAAAAGGTGGCTGTGCACACACTGAGAGAAATTGGCGACCAGACGTCAAACTGTAAGAACTTTTATGTGAGGATAAACATGAAATGTCTCTCTTGGCTGCTCAAAATTAATTGCAGAATTCGCTCTCATGTTAAATTTAGCAAACCCAATTTTTTCTCTCTGTGTACATACGTAAGTTGTTGCGAGCGCGCCGTCCTCATCATCATCATCATCATTTGTATCACAATCATTATTGCTGTCGCAGCCTTAGTACAAAGCTTTTAGGGAAGCCTCTCCCCAGACGCTGGCAAATGCACTTGACGCCTCGAAGTATGCAATGAAAAATGCTCTAAATGTGAATTCTATCGTCTCCCGAAAGCATCTCCGAGCAATGACCCCTTAGCCAGCCAGCTTCTGCACATTTCCATTTCATTAATTTCATTTAACAAACTCAAAAGCCAACTGAAGAAGAAGATAACGGTTAGTGGCAAAGGGAGGGGCAAAATGACGTGCGCCGAGCCTGATTCTCTGATTGTGTGATTGTCGTCTAAGCAACCAACGTGGTCGAGGCATATTTCAAGTGTTATCAGGCGGACAGCATCATGCATATATTAAGCCTAAATTGGCTTGGAATTTTGTCCTTCAACCCTCAGCTTTCAACACAGCTAATAGAAATGTTTGGCAGTTAATTTACCGTTATGAAGTTGCACATTATTAACGTTTGCCCAATCAGAGGCAGAGAGGGAAAGTCAGAAAGTCAAGGCAACCGGTTGCTCCACGAACAGCGCTTTTTATTTTAGAAAAACGTGGGTGATGCATAAACTAACCAAAAAGGAACTTTTTAGCCCGAGTAAGCGAATAAATAAAGAATAAATGAATATCGTTGCCCTTATTTTATTTTCTATTTTATATTAGCTTTTATTTTTTTTTTATTATAATAATTTAACTAATGGACAATTTTACTTAAAGAAATTTTATTATTTAAAATAATAATCTTCTTGGTGATATTTCTAAACTAATTCAACTGATTTTAAATATTCAGAATTGGCAAATTGAAACTTAACACTAACAATCCTTTATGATTTAAAAAATTTATCTTATTAAATACGAAATTTATTTACAAGTTCTAAGAAACAACTTTTGTGTTTTTTATGTAATAGAGTGTAAAATGGAAATATCACATTACCAGCAACTGCAACGGCAGCTGCTGTTTCGCATACTCAAGCGATTCGTATGCCCCTGCGATAAAGGACAAAAGAAACGCACGAACTGCTCAGCATATAAATGGTCATTATAAGAACACTCTCGAAACGGTTGCGCTCGTCCGGCTTTAGCGTCATGTTGACAAATCCTGTGAGCAAATTGGAGAGCATAAAATGCAAGAGTCCATTCATATTGAGCGCCTCCACGAACATCGGTAGCTGAATTTGTTGTGTCTTTGTGGGCGCCTCGGCATCGCCAATGAGCTGCTGCTGTGCCTCCTGGTTGGACGGCTTCAATGCCAACTCGTACAGCAACATGTAGATTAGAAGCAAAGAGGCGCAAGTGGCAAAAACCCAGATGTTGTAGCCAGCGCTGAAGGTAACGCGGGCAATTCCCAGTACATGGGCGCTGACGAAAACCAAACACCAACTAGAAATGGACATTATCAGCATTTGGCAGAGCTTGCGTCGCATCTCCACGTAGCTAAGCGTCTGTTTGGATGTGTACCATTTGGCAAAGTAAATACTGAAGATATAAAGACCAATGCATCCGGGTAAGGCACTAAGACCCTCACGGTTAGCGGTTAGCAAATTCTCGCGCCCTGCACTCTCAGACATGACAAAGTTTGAAAGCCCCATTTGCAGACCTAACTCCTGCAGAAAGAGAATGCCTGTTAAGATAAAATCAAACGTTAAACAAGTGATTCCCAATTTTGTAGTGCTTCTAAAACTTACCTAACGACAAAGGGAGCAGCTGCCAATCTGAGCGCACAGCCAAGGTGCAGAGCGATCCAAATAGCTTAGTGAAGCCCAGCATGAAGAAGGCATTTAGGTGCGTGCCATACTCGTGCTCATCCTGATTATAGTTGATCAATGATATAATCAAGGTGCGTCCCAGGCCCAGCACCAGCAGCGGCGCCACCACCTTGGGCAGTCGACCCAAGTCCCTTAAGTTTCGAGCCCGATGAGAAACCAAACCCATGTTCCACACAAACACACCAATTCCCAAGTCCATCACCGAAGCACCAAAGTAACGACTTTTGCGACACGCGTGCGGAAAGAGGGGAAAGTCCACAGCCAAGATAGCAGCACAGACCCCAATATAGGCGTTCGAACGCAACAAAGTAAACACCACCGGCCGCTTGCCCACATCGAACGTACGGTTATCCAATTCCTGCCAGAAACGCGTACGCCACACCCTATACAGAATCAGCACAATGGACACCACGCAGAACCAATCATTGAATTTAACATTGACAGTCGAATTCAAAACATTCGGCAAAATAACGAGCAGTCCCTCCACGAGAAAGCGTCGGTTGGGTGGCATCTTCTGACAGTACAGATAACCCAGTGTGAAGCCCAGCAAGCTGGTCAGGGTGTACATAAAACTATGCACACTCTCCTCTATAGTGTTCCACGGTTTCCTATCCAAGCTAACCGTCAAGTATTCCGGCATGTTGAGCGGACAAGCCGGTTGCTCTATAAACGCTTGAAATACGTAGAACGGTGATGACAGCCAACAAAATTTTGTCGACGACGAGACGTAGGCATCATAGCTGGCTTGGGCATCCGAGTCCATGGTAGTTAATATAATTTTTCACCTAATCTACAATGGTTTTAATGCGGCAATTGGAAACACAAACCGTCTATAAAAAAAACCCGCATATGAACAGTAACAGCTGTTGGCAGTGTTGCCAGACCAATGTACCATTATACGTTAGCAAGCAGTGCAAATGCAAGCAGTTTATAAACAAACTCCACCCACATATCGCGCTCATTGCATACTATTAAATAGTTCATTTTAGTTTATTCGAAAAGCAAATACTACTATGTATTATTATAAATAAATGCATTGATCACATAACTAAACTAAAGCTCTTCGTGCGGATTCATGGTTGGAGTTGGCTGAGGGAATTCCTTATGCAATCTCACCTGTGCAGCAGCCTCCGCCACAAGACGACCAAATTCCACAGCATCGAAACGATAATTTGTAAACTTGGCATGCGCCCCACCCTCTGGATGGTGGCCTTCGTCGTTTGGATATACCAAGTGCCGATGCTTCCACGTAATGTAATGCACGCCACGCAGACGTGCGAGATCTTTGTAGCAATTGGGGTCTTCGCAGTTGTACAATTCAAAAATGCAAGCCCAATTGGGCAAAAACAACAGATGCGTCAGTCCGGCGCCATGCATGCCAATGAGTATGTCAGAATTCCGAGTGATGGCCAATTGCTCGGTAAAGGAGAGACTGTGCGGATACAAACATTTAAGAGCCAGACATATGTAAATTAATTTATACGCACCGCTCGTATGAGACGCGTTGTACAACATAATCCTCGTTGGTATCGAGCTTCGCCAAAAGCTCCTGTTCATTGAGTACTTGACGGTATTTTGTGCGACGCGACAAATACGTTATGCGTAGCTTACGTTGAGGTAGTGGGGCCTGGAATGGGATCTGTAGGCGGTGCAGAATGAACTCAGAAAAGGCTCGAAACAGACCACTGTTTGAGCAGCCTTGTATCTGTAAGACAATAAAAATGTACATATGTACATATGTATATAGATATGATTTGTCTGTAGCTATTTAGCTTACAATTGGCGTGTTGTAGAACAGTCCGAAGATCATGCGTGGCAGCAATGGCAGTACAACGTTACGAAAGCACACACGCTTCCCCTGCACATCGCTCAATGTCCAGACTGGGCGCTGTGTAAATGCCTTGAATGTGTCGCGAAATGGCGAATCATATGGATAGGTCTCCCATATCAATATTTGCACATCTGTATTGAAGGCGGCAGGATGCGATTGATTCACAAACAGCGAGGCATACAAATTGAAAAAGTCGCAGAAATGATGATACATATTGTAAGTGGCATCGATTTTCATCACAAAAGTGGGCGTATCTACAACCAAATCGCAAGCATCGCTGCCCAGCACCGGATAAGGAAGCACATCAAAATTGCGAAGCTCTGGCGCCCAAGACTGCAGCGCGCCCATATGTTCCTGCTCCGCACTAAGGCGTGTGCGGTTAAGCTCACAGTGGCCCAGCAGCTGCCCAGGACTCAACACGTCCATATGGTATCGAATGCGCTCCTTACGATTAGCCACATCCCGCAAATCGAACAGCAAGTTGCGGCCCCGACAGAAGCGCAAATACTTGGTGCACTCCAACGACGAATCGGTGACAAATTTGGGCACGCACTGTGGTGTAAGCTCGACCAGTTGTTGTTGTATATAGCCAAAGTCGGTCTGGTAGTAGAAGGTCTGCACTTGCGCGTCTTTGCTCTGCACCCAGCCTGTGTGATCGCCTGGACAGTGTGGCGTCTGGAAACGGGCCTCAGCGCTGCAGTTGCGCTCATGGCCCCAACAGGCATGCTTTTTCGTCACTGTTGCATTGATGGGCAATTGCGTGCGAAGTTTGGGAAATGTGTTTAGGAAACGTATCAAATGGTCGCTCGGCAGATTAGGCAGCAGTGTATGTTTCACTTCCGCCTCCCTTTGGGCCAAAGATGGCATCAGCAGGGCGTTGAGTATTAATACTAATAAGTGCAATTGTTGCATTGTTTCAGCTTTAAGTACTTCGTTGCAGTTTTTCACTTTCTAAATGCATCTTCCAAGCTTTTCCATCTACATTTCACGGCCAACCATAGCATTGGCTTTGCCTTGCTTTGCTCAGAGCGATGATCTCACTTCTCAGCGAGTAGTTAATGTGATTATTAAGTTTATTATTTAGCGGCTACAAGCTTTATTGTGAGCTGTCCATCAAGCCAGCCACGCCGCTCCATGGCCAAACAAAAAATCAAACTAACAAAACCTGCTTTGAAACAGCTGATTGGTCCAATGTGACCAAATCTCCTATGCTGGCAAAGCAAGGTGCAAATGTTAGGCGCGAAAATATTTATTTTCAAAATAAAATGTAATGGCGCATAGCTTACAAAATAAAAACCAATGAATCTTATTAAGTGTATATAAACTGTTTCTGTTAATATTTCAATTGAACATTAAATTAAACATGAGAACATGGATGCCCCTGCAACATCTGGCTGTGCGCCCGCATCCAATCTGGTCACACAGCTCTTCGCGTTTGACTTCTGAAGGGTATATTTTTTATTGCTGCATATATGTACATTTTTCACTTGTGGCTCGAAATTAATTGATTAGTGTTGACTTGCAGCGCAGAAAAATGCGTAATGCGCCGAAATCGTTCGTATTACAACCCCCACCGCTCTGTTTTCTATTACTTTATTGCCTTTTCGTGTTTCTTAGACTCGGTCTGATGGTTACAACTCCGGGTGGAAGCGCCGTGCCTGCGGAAGGGGGTGTCGCTACGAGTGGACGCCAGAACAGTTTGGAGGACATAAATCTGGATCAGTTCCTGAAGACGTCCAACTATGAGGATACCGTCAAACAATTGGACATTTATTATGGCATTGGTACGTATCTGATATCGCAAATAATATAAACTGCATGTTTTTATATAACCTTGAGGCGCCTCTGTGGCCAGCCAATTAAGCAAATTCTTGTCACACACACACACATGACTTGACTAAATTGGGTGCTATTTTTAAATTGTTCAACGATTTAGCGTCCCTTCTTCAAAAAACACTTTGCAGAGCCGGCACCGTTTGTTTATTTGCAATTGACAACAAGTGCCGATTGCGTGCCATTGACTCTAGATTGTTTACTGTTCTTTATTTAATCACACACTCACTTTCCTTTGCACAGTTAAACGGCAACTGCTACGCTATCAGAGTCCCATTACGGGCCTCTTCCCCGTGATGAGCACCGATCAAGAAGTTGGCTCGGTCCGTGACAGTGTCTATTGCGCCGCCGCCGTTTGGAGTCTTTATCAAGCCTACAGACGCATTGACGATGATCGCGGCAAGTCCTATGAACTGGGCCAAAGCACAGTCAAGTGTATGCGCGGAATTTTAGAGTGTTGGGTTAAACAAGCCTCACGTGTGGAGCTCTTCAAGCAGCGCCAATCGAATCAGCATGCTTTACACTCCAAGTTCCAGCTGCACACTGGCGAGGAAATCTATTCTGACGAGCTGTACAATCACTTACAAATAGACGTCGTCTCGCTTTATATACTGTTCCTGGTCCAGATGATTACCTCCGGCCTGCAGATCGTTTATACCCACGATGAGGTAGCATTTGTGCAGAATTTGGTTTACTATGTGGAGCGTGCCTATCGTACGCCAGACTTTGGCATGTGGGAGCGCGGCTCGAAATACAACAACGGCACACCCGAGATACACGCCTCCTCCATTGGTAACTAGTACGTTGATTGTTAAAATCATTTACTAACCAAGTATTCTAGGCATGGCCAAATCTGCATTGGAGGCCATCAATGGCTGCAATTTGTTCGGCGAGAAGGGCGCCTCCTGGAGCGTGGTTTATGTGGACATCGATGCGCATAATCGCAATCGCAGCATCTTCGAAACTATGCTGCCACGCGAATCCAGCTCGAAGGTATGTGAAAGCCAATCAACCGAGATTGAATGTACAACAATTGTATTTCCATTGCAGGGGGTCGATGCTTCTTTGCTGCTAACACTCTCGTTTCCGGCATTTGCCTCGCACGAGGATCGGCTAGTAGAGCAGACCAAGCTCAATGTTGTCAATCGTTTGCGAAGCAAGAAAGGCTTTAAACGCTTCACACGGGACGGTTTTCTTAGCAAAACAGAGGACAAGACACGTCGCTATTATCACTCAGGCGAGCTTAAGGAGTTCGAGGGTCTCGAGTGCGAATGGCCGCTGTTTTTTATCGCCATGATTATTGATGGTGTATTCAAGAACAACAACGAACAGATTGAGGAGTTCCAAAACGATTTACGTCGCTGCCTCCACACTGACATCAACGGAGATCCCGTCGTCACGATGTATTATGCACCCGATGGCGAGGGCTCCTATATGCGTGCCCCCTCACAGTCTTTGTTCCTATGGGGCCAGTCGTTCTTCATTATTGCACAGCTACTGACGGCTGGTCTTCTACACATCAATGAGCTGGACCCGATACGTCGCTATTTGCCGAGTTATAATCGGCCCAGACGTGCTGGTCGCTATTCAGCGTTTCAGGTAAGTGGATTGTTGCAAGCAGCCTTGAAGGCTATTTAGTGGGGGCTGTGAAGGGACTTTGCGGGCTTTCTGAGCGGGCTGGCTTTTAACCCCTTGCCGAAGCTATTGCATGTGTGTGCGTGTGTAATTGGTATAAATATTGTGACGTTTTTAGTTTTCATTTTATACTTTCTTTATAATAATTGGTTAAATGGAAGAATTGGCTTACATATACATATAAACCTATACATAAGTACACATTAATTTTGTATCTATTTTGTCCATTTCTCTGGCTGCTCTCCACTCGACTACTACCACTATATATCGTACTACTACCATCTCTACTCGATAAACCCAAACTATATACTCAAAATTAAAAACTCCATTACCCATAATTACTCCATAAACATAATTGGTTTGACAGGGCAAAGCATTCGATGATAAACACAAAGTAAGTAGCAGTCCTTCAAATAAACACACACGACATACACACACAAATACAAATAGAAATACATATGTATATGCAAAATTTTATTATCAAAATTGAATACTATTTAGTCAAAATTATAAAAATAAGCGTTGAAATGATTGCATTTTGTTAAAAAAAAATGATTGTTTCTTCAAAATGAAAAACACAAACTATTTTCAATTAGCATTTTGCTTTAATTTAATTATTTCAATATCAAATCTATCCTTTTAAATTATGTTTTATTCATATATGGCACTATATACTACGTACACACACATACTTAGTTTTTATAAACACAATTACTTTTCGTTGCCATGTCTTTACTGTGTGCCGCTCAATTGAATGAGTTCAAGGTTTAATTTAAGAAGACTTTTCCATATCATGATAACGCTACAAGCTATGCGAATGAATTTCTTGTAAAAACAAAGAAGAAGTCCAATTCGTCGTCAAATATACATAGGTGATTTAACTTTATACAGCAGTTGAAAGTTCAGTGGAAAGTACTAAAGCTAAGACTATACATATATGTAAACCCGAATAATAATGGCAGGAACACAATCTCTCTTAGATATACCTATTGAATCTTCAAAGTGGAGCCATTAAAACAAACTTCTCTTATCCATATGTAGATTTTATTTATCACAAACTATGTATGGCTTCATTATTTTATTTAGCTGTCATATTAAAGGTCGGAGTATTAGTTTTAGTGTAACCTTTTTCTTTACTTGTATTACGAAATCGTAATATACAACTTTTAAATAATATTTCCTTATAAAGCTCAACTATATTCCAAAGCTGCATTGCAATCTGAGCATTTTTTTTTCTAGAAATATTTGCTACATCATATTCTACAAATTCATTATAATCGGTGCACAATTTCTGTCATAGGAAGGACCTGTTTAAAAATTAGTCTTGGTACGGAAAACGACTTCGTAATTAAATTAGATATTTATAACAAAAAAGTATACATATATGAATCATAAATAAATAACTAATAATAATAAAATGGTAAGACTTGATATTTCTTTATTTCTTAATCAAGTATCATTCATTTATGGTCATATGCTTCCCAGGACACAGAAAACTTGCAACTTACTTTGTTGAGCGGCACGGTATATTGAATTATTTGTATATACCATCTACATAAATATATTTTATGAAAATATCTACATGTTTTGTTGAAAAGCACTTAAACCAAAAGTATTTTCTTTATTCTTTTCGGTTCTCCCTTTCTGTCCAAATACATACGTATACTACTCGATTCGATTTATTGACTGCATATAATCGTACTTTGTTTAAAACGATATATCTACTATATACACACGCTCTGTAGGCTAAGCCGGGCACTGTAAGTAATTTGCCACCAGTCTAACGCTATTGATGTATTCATGTATTGATGTATAAATGTATTGATGTGGCTAACAGCAAGCAATTTGTAGAACAACTTAGAATTATATTTTATGTTTTTGGGCTTAGTCGTATTTGCTAAAGCTTTGATGCCCGCATGTGCTGACTGGTTGGCTGTTTATCGTAGTTGCTGCGCTTAACGCTGGGATGGGGCCGGGGGGGAAATGCTATATCCTACTAAACAAACATTATTCTTTTATGCTTAAAACTAACAGAGAACTATGCAAAAACCAAATAACTTATATAATATGTCAATACACAAAGAAACCACGCATACCGCTAATACTGGACGCCAAGAAGGTAATTAGTGGGTTGGGCGTGGGTAAATCTATTCATTTTAAACATATTCTGATTAAATGATTAATATTATTTTTAATTTAACGGCATAGTAATAGTTCATTCAGTAGCATACCTAGTCTGTATATAAATCTCTTTCTCTTACCCATTACTACCCTTTTTGGCATGTTGAAGCTCCTTCACCCCTTCAGTTTACTCCACATCCACCTTTCCCTATACCACCAACTTGTTATACTTTCTGTGTGTTCGCATTTTGGCATTTGATTAGTGATATATAATTATTATTATGTGATTAAATGAATGTACCCTAACATGTTGCATTAGCCCCATTTTGTTGGGTGTTAAGTCAAAACTAATATTGTGATTGCGACCTTACAGGGCACAGCAACTGATTTGGTTGTGCAGATCGTTTTGATTGCAGAATCGATGCGACTGCAGGCCATGATGGCCACCTATGGCATTCAAACCCAAACCCCACACGAGGTAAGACTCAACTGCAGTCTAAACTGGCGGTAATTTATACCCTTTTCTTGCCTTACAGGTGGAACCGGTGCAAATTTGGAGCTCTACGGAACTCATCAAGGTCTATCAGCATCTGGGTGTGAACAATAAGGTCGGCCTATCCGGTCGTCCTTCGCGTCCCGTCGGCTCCTTGGGCACCAGCAAGGTCTATCGCATTTGTGGCATGACCGTCCTTTGCTATCCACTGATTTTCGAAGTCTCTGACTTTTATTTGTACCGCGACATGGCGCTACTGATTGACGACATCAAGACGGAGCTGCAGTTTGTGGGCAAGTATTGGCGTCTGTCGGGTCGACCCACCGTCTGTTTGCTTATACGCGAGGAGCATATGCGCGATCCGCAATTCAAAGAGATGCTGGATCTGCTGGCCATGCTGAAGAAGGGCTACTGCGACGGCATGAAGGTGCGCATCGGACGACTGCAGAACTTAATTAGCAGCTCGTGCATCGAGCATTTGGATTTCATGAATCAGAGCGATCTGACGGATAACGAAAACGCCTTTTCCCAAATCAATCATGAATACATTGGCTATCAATCGCTGACAGATGTGCCCAAGGCGCTCACCTATGTGGAGGAGAAGGTCTCCGTGGCGGTAAGTTGATTTCCAATCTAAGTAAGCGACTCCAATGGATTAATCTGAGATTAGGGTCTGCCTGTTTGTCCTTCAACGGAACTCAAAATTCTATTTATATTGCAGCACTACAACCAGAAGCCCACACCGGACATCATCGAAGCGCTGCGCAGCACTGAGTCCATCTATTGCCTTTGCCAGCTTTGGGGTATTCTGTTGAATCGCGAAGGTCCCAATTTCGAGATAAATGGGTTGAATGTCAGCACGGCGCTGACGCAGCTCTACCATCGCGCTGGTTCATTGCGCTATTGGCGTGCCGTGCGGTATTGTTCGTCGCTGCTGCACCACATCGTCGACTCGATTAGTCCCTTCATCACCACCGTGCTGGTGAATGGCAAAGAACTTACCGTGGGCATCATTGGGCAGAAGGAGACTGTCTTCGATAAGCCGATGACGCCGGCAGAAATTCAGAATGTCATGTACACGAGCGTGCAGCCCTACGATGTCATTCAGGCAGTGCTGCAACAGGAAGTGGTGCTGTATTGTGGCCGATTGATAGCCACCAATCCGTCCATGTTCCGCGGCATTCTAAAGATACGCATAGGTTGGGTGCTGGAGGCAATGCGCATCTATTTACAAATCTCTGGTCAGCAAAGCATCGATGTTGACAATCTCTCGCCCTTTCAAGTGCGTATTCTCCTTCAGAAGGTGCTCACCGTCAGCGAGTGGGCCCTGGAAGAAAAGTAGGTGCTCTACAATTAGTTCAATCAGTCAAAAGTTAATCCAATTTGCTTGCCCCACAGACTCACAACTCTGCAGCGGCGCCGACTTGAGGGCTGCCTCTGTCGTGTGCCCAGACACTTCTACAATAAAATCTGGGAAATTCTGCAACGCACACCGCAGGGAATTCTGACACAAGGCCATCATCTGCCCGCAACGCCCACACTGACGAGCATGAGTCGCGGAGAACTGTCCTTCAATTTGTTGGTCGAGGAGACGCTCATCTGTATTGATAAGCCGGAACGTCGGCAAATTACAGTCGAGCTGCTCTGCATAGTGGCGACCATTTTAAATCGGTAAGTGAGAACTTTACGGCCTTTATAAAGTTATATTTTTAATCTATATATTTATTTATTTTATTTTAGCAATCCGGAACTGCACTTTAAGCAGGCTTTGGACCTGGACGGCATACTCGCCGAGGCTTTCTCGATGTACTGCAAGGACAACAACATACAGCTTCAGGCGCAACCGGCGACTCACGAGGACATGACAACATTCTATTCGTTGCCCTACTCTGAGACCACCGGCTACTTGGCCCGGGCCGCTGTCAACAAGGTGCTGCAAGGCGGCATTTTCTCCACAACCGACGAGGACGTCCAGTTCGACGGCGACCATTTGCACGACGACACCTGTAAAGTGTCTTAAAGAACACTAATGAGTATTACGCTTAACTTGTGTACATACATAGCTGCAATAACCAAATAGCGATCTAGCTGAAATTATGTTTGTTAGCCCACCTTTACTTGCTGCCAGAATCTTAAAGTATAGCTCGAATTTGCGGCTGAGAGAGAGTCTGTTTTCATTTGCTTCCCCAATTATTGTACTTTAATTATTTAATTTTATCATTTCGCTCTCTGTCGAGTTTGTAATTTATAATTAACTGTTATATATATGTTTTGTTGACAAAATGAAGAAACAAAAACAATTATTACAAATCCCCCCGCGCTGTTGCTTTGTTAATGGGTCATGTGCAGTGGGGTGGAAACCCCTGGAAATTGCGACTGCACTTGCAACCTAGCCGTGAACTCAGTTTATGCAATGCCGACAAAGACATATCGATTGCCAGCTTACATCATTGGCATTGCTATAAAATGCCTGTGCACGCGCCATTCTAGGCTTAGTCGTAGTCGAACCTTTCCAGAATGCGCGCCTCCGTCGTACCCGAGTGGATGACCAACGAAATGGCGCGTCTGACCGTCAAACTGGAGCGCTACAAGCCTGCAGGCAGAGGCTACAATCGCATGCAGTCTATACGCCTGTCCAAGAGCGTCACCCACATGCTGAACAATCCGCTGCCCAACAGCGTCCCTTCAATCCCCCAGGATGACAGCCGCGGAGAACAGACAGCGACACGCACACGAGGAGTGCTCAGCCGCAGCGAATCCCAGTGGGAAGAAGTCTATCCCACAATCAAGTTCAGTCGCCAGCACAGCAACGAGAGTGCCAGCAGCATCGATAGCGATAGCAAATTCACGCACTATCGCAACTGTTCTACCCGCATTACCTAAAAATCCACTGAAAAACCGTGTGGCCCTATATATTTCTAGATGCCCTTCAATTTTGCAATATTTGTACATTATAAATTAATAAATAAATATTAGAGTTTTATTATTGTCCGTAGATCAGTGTAGCTTCTATTAGGAATGTTCATAAATCACGACGTAATCCCGATACGCGAAATAATCATATACGTGTTTTCCTTTCTACAATTGGGGCTTATCCCCATCGTGAGTACATCGTGTCACGATGCACCACTGTAGCTCGCATATCCCACAGCTAAGAACTGACCTATTCCAACATAATGATGATTTGGATTCCATATACTTTTAGATTCTTGTTTTTGAAAGATAAGGAAAACTGCAATCAGACAGACAAATTATTTGCTCAGAAATGCCTTTAATTGTACAATAGAATTTCATTATTGTAGTTCTATTTCACATTCTTTTCAATTGTGTGAGCATTAGTTACAAGTCTAGGCACTAATTTAGCATTACAACTTAACACTGTCATTGTTTTGAACCCGACCTCCCCACCTTTAATCCTATTAGACGCCGTGGGCTCACAATTGTAACCGCAAAGGCCAGTTAATGGTTAGAGATTAAGTCTTTAAGCAAGACTTACAAATGAATAAACCGACAATTTATAGAACAAATGGGACTTAATTTTACAGTAGATAGTATCTGAATTCTAATCAAAATTGTTTTGAAGTATCTGTACACAAGTTATAATAAGTCTGTAGCAATAATCAACGATTTCATATTATCCCCTTTGGCTACGGAGTATAGTCGTATAGGTATATGAACCCTGTAGCCAGCCACTTGAGATTAGTGAGAACTTCAAAATGATCAGATAATTGTGTCAATTAAAATGCTTATCAATTATGTATATTGAACCTGTTGGAGAGACTATAAAAGAGTCGGCGTTTCGGGGTCTGCACACATTTCTGAAGTCAACAAAATGAAGTTAACTTTATCCGCATTGCTAGTTGGACTGTGCTTGGCAGCTGTTGTAAGTTTTTGGATGGAAAATAGTTCTACCTATTTACGATTATATTAACTATCTTATTACTTGAAGGCCCAAGCGGGTACAATCCTTGGACCTGAACCTTTCGAGTATGTCGGAGAGGATTTTGCTTCGGGTATTGTTGATCCCGAGACTGAAGGACTATTCTATGGCATGTATTGGATTCTAAAGGGTTCTCTAAAAACGGTTCTTGGCATGAGGTGCACCGTAAAGGAAGTTGGCAACGTTGTAAATGCCTCCAATACATTCCTAACCAAGACCGAGACATGTGGCGGTGATGTTTCAGCGCAAGTCAAGGCTCTTATTGGTACGGTCAATAAGATTGTGAGCACATCTAAGGGCTTCAGCACCATCAACACCACATATTGTTTGAAAGAAAGTGATAACCATTCTGGTTGGAAGTGCTTCTGGAAAATGCTGGCTTCCTCGATAACTCTTACCAACGAACTCAAAAATGCCGTTAGCCAGATTGTGAAATTGCCAACAACGGGTGCTGGAACCAGCACTTGTCTCAATTCCGCTGTCTTCGAGCTGAGCTTCTATTATACCCAGTTCCCGGCCCAAGTCAAGGCTTGCAAATCCATCAAGTCTTAGGCAATAATAAAAAAGAGCTATGAATACTATGAATACTTGTTTTAATTAGATATACAAGTATGTAACCAAAAGGTAGAGTCAAAGAAATGGCTAACAAAAAATTGACTCACGTTTATTTTCACATTCACGAAATTCACGAAGTGGTTTGGCATTTCACATTTTGAGTTCGCCAACGTCCACCAATCCAATCAGCTATCAGTAGAATGAAAAGAAAAAACAGATGTATATAGATTTGTGTATTATTAATATGGATTTTTTATTTGTTATGCTAATAATGAAACACTAAAAAAATAGGTACACTTTATATACGATTATTCGTTTCTTGGTACAAAAATTCTTTTTAATTACCGTATTATTTTGGTTTTCTTTTCTCTTCGTTTTCTTTTAAATATAAAATAGCACGTAAGGTTTAGTTGGCAAATCGCAAATATTAGAGACTGCCTATTGGAGATATTTGTTGTGTTGTGTGATTTGGGTTTGATATGAATTGCCTACTGTTTTCGATTTGTTTCACATTCGTTGAGAAAAAAAGCAATCAATTGTCAATATACTCTTGCGCACAATATAACTTTTGTTGGCTATAAAAATATACATATGTGATATGCTTATAGAACTAAAGTCGATGCTCGCTTGCAACAAATACATGTTTCATTACATGACTGATACAAATTTATAACAAATATTTAGTATATAAATAATATCGATTTGTTAACGACACACTCAAAGGCAACACAATTAATTAGAAGCTAAGACGTTAATTATTATCATTGATTGATTATTATTGTTATTATTCGTTTGTAAATATAAAAAAGGTATCTATTTAGGTTTTGCTTACAAAATTATTCATTATTTTTATGCACACGGTAGTTATTATTTATTATACGTTACATATTTGCCATTGTAAAATGCTAAAAAATCCCTGAATATGAGTTCTCATTATTATTACAATAATTTTTTTATTAGTTTACAATATTTAAGTATTTAGTTAAGCATTTACTTAAACATTCATGGTAATTAAACTAATTTAACTTACAAACAGCGCTTAAACTTTTACACTTTCAACACTTTTGTTTTGTTTTTAGATTTTCGTTTTCCTTTTACTTAAGTCTAAATAAATTATTTATTATTATTAATTAGGCAATATAACATGCGAATATGTTACTCTTCTACTATTCTTCTTTTTCTTATATATATAAAAAATAGTTGGTGTAGACCATTGACTTTTACACTTCACACTCGGCAGTACTTTCGACAAAAATTTAACGATGTGTGTGTGTGTGAGTAAGTGTTTTGTTTGTTGTTCGTATTGTTTATTTTGTGATGTGTGTGTGTGTGTTTGTTTGTGTTTTTTCTATTTTGGAGGTTATCTAGATTTAATTCCGTCTAACTAATATTGTATTGTACATATAAAAAAGTTTTAAAAAAGACTATGAAACCTACGCCAACTCAATACGTACCTAATACGTAAACAATAAATTCTATTTCGCTAAAGATTGTATATAAGATCTATGCTATTGTGGTTGTTGTTGCTGTTGTTGCTGTTCATGTCGACGAACACTCATTCGACTGGGTATGGAATCCGTATCGCCATCGTCGTCAACATACTCCTCCTTCGGCCGAGTCCATTTGATTAAAGTCTCCGGTGAACGATACAGGAAAAGTAATTTGGCAAATAGATCCTCCTCCAATGCAAACTCCAAGGCCTCGCGCACCTATAAACAAAGTCAAATTAAGTAAATTTAAAGATCTCTAAATACTTAATTAGCCACAACAACGACTTACCAAATAAATATCAAGGCAGAGCTGCAGCACCCGATCTACGTATGGTAAGTCTTCGAACATGATTTTACGGTTTTGACCCCCAATGAAGGATTTCATGAAGCGCGAGGCCAATAACACGAATGTGGTGTAGAGACCGATGATACTGTAAGCGAATGAATCGTGAAATGAAATTATAGATTCAATTATATAATGAAAGGGCGAATAAGACTCACCCGCCCGCTGTGAGGAAACTGAATGTCGATGGGAACTTCTTGTCATTAAAGGTGTACATAACGATGCCGGAAGTACAGTTGCTGTACGCAAACTTGCTCAGGTAGTTGGTGTAGAAGGTGTCGTTACAAAAGTCTCGTATCTCCCACCAAAGGCCGTTTGTCTCTTTGTCGCGATGGATTTTAATCACGAGTGGTCGCCGATCCTGTTGCTTCTCGCCGAGCACACTCACAACATTGGCATCGCCCGAGTTGAGGACTTTTATGAATTTCGGTATCATGTTTGGCAGCACCACTTCGGTGGCTGGAGCGGTGCCATTATCGTAATGCGATTCGTTCAGCATGTGGATGAGTGCGGCGCGTCCCTCGAAGGCATCATCTAGCTCTATGATGTGCTCATCGCCGACTGTCTCCTTCAAACCCTTGGCGGGTGCCTTGCGGGTAAGAGAGTAGGAGAAACGCGCCTTCAACGTGTGGTCTGCAAGCATAGAAACAGAAAGAGTTAGATCGCTAATAGAACTATAATAGCGATGACTTACTATTCTTCAGGTCGTTTAGCAAACGCAGCCTGTCCGGCGGCGCTATATTCCAGAGAGATGGCGAGTTACCGGCCAACTTGACGGCAGCCACATCGGTGGCATCGTAGCCGGTTATAAATGTGACAGCCTGTTTGTCTTTGAGGTAAGCATTGGTCATGTCGGCGTACCTTTTGGAGTCGATTTCGTAAATGCTGTCGTAGTTATTTGTTGTATAGATGGGATCGTAGGGTCCGATGCGTATGGATAGGGACACCTGATGGGGCACATTGGATGTGCCGACGGCATTGCCCAAAGCGAACAGGCACAGTGGTCCCCAAATACAGATAACAATCAGAAACACCACAGTGCCGCCCATTAGGAGTTTCGAAACGGCCGCCTTCTTCTGTGCCCGCATCGCAGGAAAGTCGGTCTCTATTTGTCGTGTGCAGCGAATCAAATAAATATTTGAAAATATATCCTCCATTTTGAGCCAATCGAAGAGTGTCATTGTGCTGTCAATGCACACCCAATCCAAGATTGTGCGCAGCTCGTAAAGAAAGGGTATTTGCATGTACACCTTGAAGGCAATCATGTTGACCAGCGAGAAGCCTTTGGTGAAGAAGTTGCCCAGAATTCTTTTCGGATAGCCCGACTTGATTTGATAGGAACTCAACAGCATGTAGAAGCATTTGATCACATAGAAGATAATGGGCGGGGCCAATGAGTTGAATGTCCGTTCCGTCACAGCCGGCACCACAAAGAACATCCAGATATGTATGCCAATAACAGAGAAGAAATGGAATATTATCTTGTTCACCAGTGCCTTGCGCAGATATAGCGAACGATCGATCACAATCAGTAGGAACTGCACGAGCAACATTATAAGAAAAGGCACAGGAACTTTATTCTCTGCCAAATAGGTTTGCACGCCTCCATCGCTCTCTGTTTGTTGGGTCTGCAAGAAAATAAAAGTTACATTTAAATGAATTGAACGTTTTAGCCGTTGGAACACATCCCCTTCCACGGTTCTACAAATTAAGTAATTTTTAACGCTATAAATGGTTTGAAATAAACTTGCTATGCAAATAGATTCGACGAGCCTACACACCAACTTTGGTGTCCCTAGCTGTTATGTTTTCAAAGTTCTCGAGGCTCAGACATGCAGACTAACGAACAAACGAACGGAGAGGCATTTCTATATCACATCTTCTCGCCATGCTGATCATCTACTTCCCCTATTCACCCTTTCATCTGAACCTTTCAAAGTTGTGGCTTTATCACTTACACCAAAAGCCGTGAAGCCGAACAGCAGCACAAAGAAGTTTACGAAGTCGCACAGAAACATTAGCGCATAAACATCGGTGGCCAATCGGGACTTATGAACCAAACTGAAGAAGAACTTGTGCAGCGACGAGGTATACTTGGTGCGTCTGCAACGAAAAGAATTGGTATAATTTATACCTATAAAGGGTCATTAGGGTTCGCTACTCACTTCAATTGATTGATGCCGGACTTGCTATATTCTGGCGAGCCGGGCAGCGAGGCTTGGCTCACTTGCAGGCTCATCTTCTGGCCCACATCGTCACGTTCGTTCATTTGCCGTGAGTCTTGGTTGGACAAGTTATCGCTGTCTTCGCGTTCATCGCTGCGTAAGCATCGTGAAGAGTTAGAATTCTATATTTGTTGGCAACTTTAACAACTTACATGCTAGCTGTGGGCTTCAGCTGCATATCTGGGACATCCTTGTAGCCGGACTTCCACAATCCCTGCGACTTCAGCAGATAACGATGCAGGAAAAGCACTAACAGCAATATAAGATCGTAGACTGCGTAATGGGTTTTCATTTCGACGCCAAAGACTTTGGCTGCGGACAACGGCTGGTTGGGCAGGGAACTGCTGTAGTGTGCCCAGATGAGCTTGAACTGGAATATGCATTTGATCAAAACAATCGCCTGCGTGTAGGCTATGAGCGTAACCCAGAAAGTTTTCGTCGGACGTGGCAGAGAGAGCGTGCCCCAGAGGAAGACCATAATTGGCAGCGGCAAAGAGATGAGACTCGCATTAACCACCTGCGAAAGTGAAGAGCGGCTAGTATGGTTTAGGAATTTTGTAAAAAGATTTCGTACGCACCTGATTGATGAACACCACTATGTAGCAGATGAGATCTGTATTGGCCAGCAGGGCGTACCACGAGGATATCAGCACTTCCACAATGATATGATGATCGCGCTGCGCAAAGTTCTCCTCCTCCAGATTGAATTCGCCGGCACTGTAAATAGGTAAGGCATTGTAGTGGCAGAAATTGCAAGATCCAGGCGTAGTCCTGATCGGTGGGTATGCAAATGCATGCCAAGTGCTAACTTGTGCGCTGCATGCTCGTCAACTATATATATTACATGCGTGAGTGCGGGACTTGCAACAAAATTAGAACTCATACCAGTACACAAAAAAAGAGACAAACACATATTTTGCTGAAGAACAACAACATCAAAAGTACATACTATTTAATAAGTAAATCATAAGTCGTAAGTAAGTAGAAATACAAATTAGTCTATAGAGAAGAGAGTGAGAAAAGTGATCAGAGATATTGTAGAGAGTTACGGATTGGAGTTAGCAATGAGGATAACGAATATGTATGCATGTTTTGTGATGAGTGGAACTTTAGCAACGACACAACAATTATGGAGCAGCACTACTTGCAACAGATGGCTGTTTCTTTCTATACCTGTCCACCTGCTCGTAGGACCAGTGTTTGCTCAATGAACCACCGGTGCCACCGGTGGTGATTGTGGTGGTGGTGGCATGATGGTACTGCTGCTGACTGCCACTACCGCTGCCTCGTTCCATAGATGGCGCTTTTATGCGTATTTCAGGCAGGCCGCATTCCGATTTACGACCACTGCCCCCCATTCAAGTGGTGCAGAGATTCGGAGTATACGGCATACATATATGTATATGGGTGTCATAGAAATGGGTGTGGATGTGTGTATACGGGTGGGGATGACAAATTGCAGTATATAAAGATATAATGTTTGAGGTTACAGAGAAAAAATTCACGAATTTCAAGCCGTGGTCAGGCAGGCAAACAATTTGCACACAAATTCAGTAAATTATTCTTAATGTTTTACAAATAATACTAAATTCGTCGCCTAAAATTAAACAAAAAATCTATAAAGTTGTGTGCAAATTATTTGTCTCGCTGAACAAAGCATTAAAATATGGTCAGACAGGCAAATAATTTGTCCAATTGATTTCTTCGATCAAAACTAATAGGATTCTGTACAACAATATTATATTCTAATACGAAAAAAACTGTTTGGGAATTGTGTTGTCTGCCTGGCCATAGCATTAGTATAAATACTGTAGTAGTACGATTTAGATTACGAGTAGAGTAGAGTAGTAGACACGCACACACACATAAATGTATACAATTGTGTTCGTTCACAGAGTTCGATTTTAGTTTTTAGTTAGTTAGGATATTTGTCTTCAAATTTTTAGTACAAAATAGGCAATTTTTATAGGCACATGAAGTAAAAATGTTGAACTACTTACCCTTTGACTGGTGGCGATGAATTGATTGATTGTTTTCTAAAAACAAAAATTCGTATGATCAAATGCGCGCAGATATGCAAAATGTAAGAAAAAGAAATTAGTAAGGATTTTGTTCACATATATACTCGTATATAAACATTTGGCTTTCATATCGATTCGGTAGCAACATTTTTAAATTTTTTTGGCATTATTTAAAAATTTTCAATTAAATTTCTTCTTTTTTTTAAATGTGTAATGGAAATGAAAATTCGATAAATGAAAATCAAGTCAATTGTGTGAAATTTAAGACTAATGTGCAATGTGAGTTTTTCTATATAAAATTTTATGTATATAGGAGAGTTCCCAGTTACTTATTAAAATGTGATTTTTTTATTTTAAGTTTTTCTTTTTAACATTTTTTTTTAACAATTCATTTGGCATATCCTATAAGATGCGTTCCAAAGTAAATAGGGCATTTGATACTATTCCATTTTTCTAGATTACAGATTTATTGGAAAGATACAAGCGTTCCAATCTTTCAGTCAATAAATGATAAAATCCAAGATGATGATGGATAGCAAAACCTATACACAAGGCTTGTACCGACTTTCTGGAAGACAACCCCCTCTACGATCTCTAATTAAACACTTGTTTCGCAAGCTTTACGATCACCAATTCAATCTTTGGAGACTGTTTTGTTTCTGTTGTAAGCTTTCCATTTACTTTAAAACGCATCTATATTCATAATTGATAGGAAACGCCAAAATACCAATTTAAAGGATTGATCGAAATATTCGGATTTTTTACCTAGAAGTTGCCGCATCAACAGTATCTACTGGAATTTCGATGATATCTTCAATAGCGTGTGGTGGTTGAGCTATTGGCAGTGTACTTGTTGTTGTTGTTGTTGTTGTTGGTGGTGGTGGTTCTTGAGGTGAGAGCGGTGTGGTTGTTGTATTTGTGGTGGTGGTAGTGGTGATAGGTGTGGTGTATTCATTGGTGAAGTTATTTGTTGGTGTTGCTGCCGTTTGCCGGCGCGGTGTGGATGATGAAGCCGGCTGGCCGCCATTTTCATCGCTTTTGTTAACCGAACGAATCAACAACGTGATGGAAGATGAAGTGGATTGGTTTTGGATTCGATTTTGATTGTTGTAGGTGTTGGTTCAGTTTTTTGTTTTGGTTTTGGTTTTGGAAGCAGTATTTCAAACAAGTAACACAAAAGGTAAAATATGCAAATAAGAAGAGAGAAAAAAATAAATGTATTCAGTTGAAACGCAACGGAAACGCTTAAAAAACAAAATTCAAAAATTGTTTATAAAAAATTAATTGTAAAACAAAAATACAATAAATATTTGTAATGCTAGAACTCAGGATTGAAGTTCAAAAGAAATATTTCAAAAATAAATCAAAGAACTCAACGCAAGCGGCGCACACGCTAGAGCGGCGCACGCAATGCCATTAAATACCTCTCGAGATTCGATTTGAGGAAGTGGAACATGGCCGCAGCGCTGGAGAGGCCCAGGCGGTTCAGCGAACTCGATTCCTGCAATTGAAAACAAATACAGTTATTTATTATAATTATATAATTATCCAATCGATAACTATTTTAAGTTTGAATTGAAAGTCAAATTTTAAAGCAGAACTTCAATTCTCACCTTTAGCGTTTTCTTCTCAGTGGCCAAGATACGATTGACGAAGCGATAGTTTCTGGAGAAACGATTTAGACGTATGGTGAGTGTAACCAGAAAGCCTTCCAGCAGGCGAATAATGGGATTTGTGTCGAAGTCCTCGTCCGAGTCCTTGGCTGTCACTTCGCCACTGTCAACTTCCATTTTTGATCGGCTGTCGGACGTTTCCTTGGAGGTTGCCTCCCTAACAACGGAAGCGGCCTGCAACTGTGGCGGAATTACTGGCACATCCTCTCTGGCTGGCGCCGCTGAGGTTGCTGCCGCCATAGCTTCATCTTTCTCTTTGGAAATGCCTCTGCTCGTCGATGGGAAGTCCACGGGCGCATCTTTCGATTTCTGTATAAACAATTGCAATGGATTCTCAGTAAATCGGGAAACGATAAGCGCTTTAAAGGACACGTATGCATAAAGAAAACGAAGCATAACAATTGCGTATCAAAAAATATTATATATATAAATATATAGGTATACAAGTATAAGTAAGTGTGCTGCCGACATCTTGTAGTTGTTTGCGGCGCTTAGCAAAACTGGTGTGACATATAAATTACAGAAACACTTGGTGGTGCGCCAATTAAAATTGTACGAGTAATTGAATTGAGTTTTATGTATTTGTCTGCTTTGGGGAGCAATCCGCTCCACACTCACGACTGAAAATTTGGTATCGGGGTCAGAATCCGCATCAACCATGGGCAAGCTGCGCCCATAGTCGAGCGGTTCGGAGAGCGTAGAGGTGCGGACGCCCGCACCGGATGCCATGCCCATGTTACACTCAATGGTGTCATCGTCCTCGTCCGTCATGCCACCAGCATCGTCGAGCTTCAGGACTATGCGGGAGCCGGGTGCCGAGGCATAAGAGCGCTCTCGCATATAGAAATGCCGACGATATTCGGCATCGTTCAAGTCCTTCCAAACCTTGGGTGTTAGTATTGTAGTATTTTTTGTGTGTTTTGTTTTTGTTTTGGGAGGAATATTTGGGCAATTTAAGAGGTTACAATGTTTCAAATAAACATGCCAAATGCATGCTCAGAAATCGAGAGATAGAGGGCTATAGCTAGAGGCTAGTATGCGCCACCAACTTACATCGTATAGAGTTTTCCTGCGCTGCATTTTCATCTCGCTCTCGGTGAGGTTCTCCTCCTCCAGGAAGTCAATCTCATCGTGTATCAGATCCAGCTCGAACTTATCATCCATCTCCTCGAACATATAATAATCGCCGGCTCGCGTGGCTTTTGATTGGTTGAATAAATAAAAAAACACAATTAGGACACTGTCTAAATCAGATCGAATATTTGTTTTGTAGCATAGATAGTGATTGCAACAACATATAGAGGGTTATAGTATATGATATCTATGTATGTATATATTATGGCACTAAAGTGATTGTTTTTCGTTAAGGATTATTGATTTGCAAAATTTACAGAGTACACAAGACTGGGCACAAGACATAACCGCAACGTTACAAGACTATATAGTACATGCATTATGGCTTTGAATATATACTTGTATATGGAAATGTACATATATATATACTAGATTATTTTACATAGTCGGTATTGGACAAATACGTTAATGATTGGCTGATTTATGAACAAATTAAGTATTTTAAATAAAAACATTACCATGTGGATGCAATTTAATTTCCTTCCTTCTGCGTACTGTTGGTGCAGGAAGTGGATAACCATGTTCTATAATAAAAGGAACAATAACGAAAACGAAAGAAAAAATAAATCATAATGCATAATTTAATCAACATAACGAGTTCTCAAATTTTAAATCAATATCGTAAGCAACGCCGAAGCTCACTTCAGTTTTTTCAAAAATCAATTTTCTTTTTCCAGCACCGATTTTGTTCACTGATGATGGCCGAGAGACCAATTCACAAAGATGGTAAACGAACGAAGCTATCAAAGATATTTACAGAGCCAACTTATCGAAATGAAAAAATTTCACATACAAGCTTTTATTATTTTAGAGAAAAGGTTTTATGTTTTGTTTTATTATTGTTTGTTTGTTGTTTTTTTTTTTTGGTTTTGGAAAAAAGTAAGGCATAAGAGATGTAGCAAAATAAATTTAGAACCGCAGCGTTGAGAACTTGACGGTTTCTAGTTACACCAAGAGAAGAAAATTTAACTTATTAGTCATATTTTACACTTGTAAGAGCGATCATTATAATGCTGACGCTTAGATATATAAATCATTGAAGTATGTACTATAGTTCATAAGAATGTACGAGTATATGTAATATATTCAGATATTGTTGACCCAACGAATCGTGTTATTTACATGGTACGTCAGAAAGCGGTTGCTTGAGGTCTGCTACACAAGACCTCAACAAATTTTATTTGCTCGATGCACGCACATTGAATAAGTTATTGTACAAAGTAGTTGTTTGAGAAAAATTAACTAGATATAGGTAGTAGTTTAAAAAATGTCATCCAATACATGGTCCATGCAGCAGTGTGGGTTCATAGAAGGCGCACATCAGCGACTCCATATAGTAGACCGTACCGACAGGCCCCCAGCTATGGGGTCGCTGTGAGGCGCGCATTGCGACCTCGTCCCGGGCTCCCGACAAATTGCTGGTCCGCCGTTGACGTGCCTGTGCCTCGTCCAGCGAATAGGAGGCGTTTCCCATGCTCATATGACGACGGTGCAACGATTTTTGGCGCAACGTGACGAGCTCAGCATCTTCCGAGGACTTTATAGAGTGGTAGACGAGTTATAATATGGAATTTGTTTTATTTATCACGAAGCTACAGCTGTTTTCGGATGCTCTTAAGTCGCCAAACCATGTTCAAACATTTTGTATACCCTGTACCCGCCGGGTAGAAGGTATATAAGAATCTAACATTCAACTCATTAGGTTTAACAAATTCTTTCTTTATGGTTTGGGGACGAAAAAGCATTAAAACAAAGTAGCCTTTGATTACCCCCATGGATGTCAGCTTCTTCTTTGCCTTCGGTGATCGTTTAATCGACACCGTTTCATTCCAGGATACTGCCGCATTTGTCGACGATTGGCGACGATGCTGTCGACGCAAATTGGGTGTCAGATTCGAGGATATGACCGAACTGCCAGCACTAACGCCACTGGTGGAAGCCAACGCCGTGGCATATGCCACTAGAGGTGGTGGCATCAATGTGCTTTGTGCACTTGTGGGGGGACGCAGCTCTTGGTTGCTCTTTTCCGATGGCGCCAGACCCAGCGAAATGCGCTTGGGTTCTAGAAAACCCTCCGTTAACAAGGTCGACAACCTATCCGTGCTGGGCGTTGTGGGCTTCAAAATAGTTGGTATATCTTTAAATTGTTCTGCTAGAGACAGCGCTAATCCACACTTACAGCTGTTACCATATCCTTGGGTAGCTCCCGGCATTGAACTCCTGCACCTGCCTCCCCCTCTTCATCCTCGTCGCTCAGGGATTGAACATCCGCATAGAAGGTTTGCTCATCGCAGTGTTCGCCATCGATCTCCTGCTCTATGATGACAGCCAAGTCGGCGCTGTCGGCGCTGCTGTTGCTGCTCATTAAAGAAGCGCGTGCTGGCGACGATGTGGACGACGACCGGCTAGTGGAGCTCTGCTCATCGGGCGTTTCGTAGCCCGAGCCTTGGCAGGACACAAAGCTATTGTTGTGCGCTAGTGGCACCACTTCTACTTCTGCCTCAGAGGGCGTGCGAGTCCCTTCAGAACAGCAGCGAAAAATTATAGGCAGGCACACGAGACCGACACGAAATGAAGTCGCAAATTTCCGTGAACAAAAAATCAAAGCGGAAATTGCAAAACGTGACAAAATCCGCGACAAAATCTCGATACCAAAACGCAAAAACAAAACGCGAAACTCGAAAAAAAAAAGAACCCACAACAAACACTTACCATCGAAATGGGTCTGTTTGTCCAGCGGACGCAACAATTTCTGCTGCGTGGCACGAATGCGTTCCATCTTCCGCTTAATCTTGTGGAGCACCTGCTTTTCGTGATCGTGCCGATGGGCTATTTGCTTCTGCCGCAGGCTCTCAATTATGTCCGCACCTCTGTGTCAATATTTAAGAAAAATGTGATATAATCAATCAATCAATCAATCATGCTTTCATCTTCATATTTCGATATATGTTAGAGCAACCTACCTAGAAGCCAGTATGTTATTTGCCTTGGTGTCCGTGATGATGTGACAGAAGTAGTGGGACTTGAAAATGCGCAGCTGGAAGATAATGAACGCGAAGCATATCGTGTCCCAAAGCAATACAATCTGATGAGTTATCTTCGGACACTCGCCGGTGGGTAGTGGTTCCGTCTCCTCTGGTAGCAGCATATCTTTGGCCACGTTACTGGTGCAGGTGATGCCAAGCATATGAACCAGCCAGCAGCAGTGCGTGGTAAGTGGCTTCATGAACAAACAGCCGGCCATTTGGAAGCTCGTCTTGATCAATATGTTGGCCACGTTGAAGGCCAGCAGCCATTTCCAGCGACTGATTATGGTTTTGATGGGTCGCAAGTAGAAATCAGAGCCTTGCCACAGAAACACAAAGGCGCCAATTAGGTAGCCCAGAGCCAACAGATCCGCAATATTCGTTCCAGCCAAAAAGACGACGGCTAGTGTAAACCAATAGAAGCCACAGAGCACACCATTCTTCAGTATGTCCGAATAGTTGCGTATGTACGAACAGAAGTCGTGCGTGGGGTTATCGAAGGGCACGCGCCCCAGGTTGGCAATGTCTGCAATGACACTGCGATTGCTGCCACCCGGATAGTCGTCGTTTGAAGCAAAACGCAGCTCGATGCAGAAAATGCTTTTCTGGCGATTCAAAATGATCAGCACTATGAAGTCAAATATCAGCTTGGGTACATGGTTGTAGTGCAGAGCTCCCGGCAGCATCGTCCAGCGTTGTATGTTCTCGGCTATGTCCGCGCCATCCCAGGGATAAACTGAAAAACAAAACCATTCTACAATAAGCTCTATTTCCAACGTTAAGAATACTTACCCATACACAGCTTGGGCGGCAAACCCACCAACACAATGTACTGCAGCAATATGGATATTGCGAAAAAGGCCTGAAACACACCCCAGACTTTAGCCAACTGCGACCGCCGCAACAGCAGCATAACTATAAGGCAGATGGCATAGGCCACGGCCACAATGTCCTGGCGATAGGTTATCGTAGATACCAGGGCTATCAGCGAAATCTCCATGCCAAACTTGTAGAAGCCATAATTCAGCAAATACTTGGCCAAGCCCACCAGATCCTTCTCAGCATCGGGACGCGCTATTTGCGGGAATAGCACCTTCGGTATGTCGGCGGTGCTGGTGCCAGTTTTGACTCGCATTTGCAGCTGACGCAGCGAGATGAATGCCTGCAGTGTTACAATGACCATATAAATGATGTAAGTTCGCAACAGACTCATCAGTCCGCCGTGCTGCTTGTCGGCCTTGCTCAGGCCTACCCATTCGGCGTTGTTTGCCGTCAGATTGTCAGACTGGAAAAGACAAGATTAGAGGGAATTTATCAAGCTAGTGAAACTATTTATCATTTCAACTGGTTAGCGTCTACGCACACTCCTAATGCACGATATTAAAGTAATTTTTACTCACGCATACGACGCTGTAGTCCGAATGATCCAAGTATTCGATCTGATAGATCATTTTTGACAGCACAATAATGGTGACAATGAACGAAATAAGACGGCTGATGAAAATTTGCACCGATTTGCGTGATGTGGCACCGAGCACACAGAACCCAACGAAGACAATGTGCAGCACGCAGACTTCGCTGACGCTGCACACGAAGCCCGCTATGTAGACGGCCTTCATGATGTGCAACTCCAGAAAGCGCCAAAACACATCCTTGAAATTCTTGAATATGTACTCCGACTTGTTTTTGATTTTGCGAAATGATATGCGCACGAGATCGCGCACAGAGGTCTCGAAGTCGGTGGCTTCGGGTCCTCCGACAGAACGACGCAAGGAGCCGCCGCTACCGCGACGCTTTCCCTGCGTATTGCTGGCCGTCGTCGTCGTGGGTTCGAGAGCGGTTGTCTCTGTGGGAGGCGCTGCAATTTTCTGCTGAGCTCCAGGCTGTTGCTGCAGCGAAGCAATAAAGCGTTTGTGGAAATAATGCACCTGAATGACAGTGAGTATTACAATGATAGTGGGTGAGACGAGGTGAAGGAACAAATCCTTCGTTTGATAGCGCTTTAGGCCGATATCGGTTTGTCTGAAAGAAATGCAGAGATTAGTACGCTCATGGAGATCGTGGCTGGTGAATTACATACAGCGTCTTGGACACGTTGAAATAGTCGTTCCAATACAGATCGAACTTGTCGAACTGATAAGTGTAGATCAATATTAATATGGACATGGCGTAAAAGATCAGGAACAGCCAAAAGCCGTACATAATCTTAACCCACGCCTTGGACGATGATTGAAAGACGAGCAAGAAGAATAGGAACAGAGCCATGTAGCAAATTCGAAACCCGGTCATGTCCTCGCCCGTAATGGCGCACAGGAAGATAACCAATATAAGCAACCAAATCCACAGTCGGACCAGCAAATTCTTTATCACGTCGCCGGCTTTCTTTAGGAACTTTGAGGTCTTCTTGCCATCGTTGATGAGGTAACTGGAGCCTGCCGAACCAACAGTTATTTGCAATGGAGCTATAATATCCGCCAAAGTGCTGTCCCTTCGCCTATCACGCTTCTCCTTGAAGAATTGACGCGACGTCACCCAAAACATCAGCACAAAGGCGGTCTTTACTATCAAAGGCACACAAGGACGCATGTGATTCTCAATTGGCCGCTCGAAGCCAATCTGTTGCAGATTTATTCCGGCGGTCTGCAAATGGAAAGCATGAAAATTATCAAAAATATCCATTAATTGCACAGACTAGGACTTACGGATACTTTTGTTGGCAGCTCATTGTTATTCAGATCCATGCCATAGATATATTGCGCCACCAGCAGAACCTCTGCATACAAGACAATGAATGGACTGGAACGCATCATGGCTTTGCGTTGATTTGGTATCATCCACAGAACATTGGCCCACAACAGGAGCACAAACGTTAACCAACTGTGATAGACTATGGACCAGGCCTAAAATCCAAATAGCAATGAATTAATACAATGATGTAGACAGCTTACAAGACAACTTACCATCATGAGTATATTCGTAAAAATATAGCTATTCTGATATATAAAACCTCCCACGCTGATAAACCCATAGGATATCTGATCGAGTATAGAGGCTGTGGTATTTTCCAGCTCCGATCGTTGCTCCAGTGAGTCCAATTGAATGACATTCCCCCGGGAGGTGGCGGGTACTGCCGTCGAGGATACCACTCCCGTGCCCGCTGACGATTCCAGTGGCTGTGGAGTACGAGCCTTGCGCGTATTTTGACGAACAAGCTATTATTGTGGCAAATGAGATACACACACACACATAATTTAGTACAATATTCGATTGATTGGGGTTAAACAGAAATGGAACGCGTTACATAGGTACTATATTGCACGATACGTAGTATTTATATACAGTTCAAAAATATTATGGCCGCTACATGTGTGGATTAACAAGCCACTAAATGGTGTACCGACTAACTTTGGGACTAAGGCAAAGGTGGGGTTATGTACAATTGTAGCTTCACACGCACACACTTACTCGCACACCATTTAAACTAGCTAGTTAGTAATTTTAGTTAAACAGCACAAACGGTTGATCTTGTTATAGAGTTCCAATATCAATATCTAAGAGATTAGTTACAACTTTAGAATGTTTTCAAAGTTAGACATTTACAGATACATTGACAAACGGTTAGACACTAGCTATTGGTACAAGCAATATAGAATGTATGTTAATAAACAGATAGACAAATTTATGTATAGTATGTGGCGTAAGTAGGAAAAGGTAGATAGAGTCTAAATATCAAATGATCTCTAATGATTAGTAGGAAGTTTTAGGTAGTATTTATAATTTAGAGATGAGTGGGAGTTAGTTTACGTACAGGCGTCGTCTCAGTCGGTTCATTAAACGTTGAACGTTGTTCACGGCGTAAAGAAACCTAAAGCAGAAGTAAAAAGAGCATAAACAAAAATCAAACAAATAATAAGTTAAGAAAAAAATAAGCAAAAAACAAAAATTAGAGCGAGGGAATTTAAAGACCCAACTAAAATATTGATTATGTTTGCACAGGAGTTACTTGGATGTACATACATATAGGCATTTCTTTCGTATAATACAAATCCATGTTGTTATAAGAGTTGATGTTATAATACAACCTTTTAGTATAAATACAAAGCGCACACTCATCTATTCATCTATCGTTGATATTCTCTTATACATATATTTGCTGACCCCGACTGTAGGTTAAGAGCAAAGTGATCTAGAATTCAGCTTATATACTCAAACACCACAGTGGTGGTGTCCAATCATCTCAATCAGCCACGACATACATATGTACATACACCCACACACACACTCCCTCACTCGTAACGCGCTTACACTCAAACGTTGCGGTCTGTTTGTGATTGTGGAGGTTGACGTCGCACCGCCGCTCTCCTTGCGGCAGACGACGCCACCAACACCGGGACCGCCACCGCCACCACCACCACCACTTCGTGTTGTGTGTGATGTGAGGAGCGACAATTGGCGACTGACTTTGTTGTTGGTGTTGCTGCTGCTATTGCTCTCTAGTTGCTGTCCAAAAGCGGTGGCAGGTTTCGATTCCAACTGAACAGTGGTGGTTAAGTGGCCAGCATGTGGTGTGGAGTGGAGTGTGTTTTGTGGAATGGGTGGTTGTTGTTAGTGAGTTGTTGTTGTGTTATTATTATTATTGTTAGTTATCAAAGTTAAATGTTTGTAAGAATGTGTGTGTTAAAGTTCAATTCAAAGAAGCAGCAGCAATAATTCCAATGGGGCAAAAGTAAGAGCAGAAAACGGTGTTAGTTGCAAAGATCAGGGGATCCCGTGGGCATATTTTAAAGATATCTGGGTCAGAACTGCAGAAACTTACCCGCGGCTTGATTAAATGCTTTGTCGTCAAAGCCAACGCAAAGTAGGCGAACAACAAAGCAAACGGATTGAGATACGAGTCCAGGGTCAAAGTGTTATTATACAGCATAACTCGAATGTCTGACGCGCAATACGATTCGATGAGTGGTTCCAAGCCGATAAGACTAGAAACACATAGTTGATTATAATTAGGCTTGTGACAAATGACGAATACTCGTAGATGACTTACCGAGCCGCCAGGCTAGTGTGATTAAGATGGGTCTGCATCCAGGGTGTTTGATATGAAACAATGCAGAGGGCGTGCACCACAATGATGGCCATGACGAAACGCAGCAACAACGCAAAACCACTGCGGCGAGAGAGTTACACAGGAAGGGTGAAGGAAGTTGATAGATTGATTGATTATTCATGTTCAATGTGAAGTACATACCGTTGCAGCGTTTGGAACGTTGCCCAATATGTGCCCGCCAGCAGGAAAATTAGAAAATAAAAGCCACCCGGTACCGAAGGGCGCAGCACCGCGGCAAAAAACAACGTGGCCAGGCAAAAGAGTGGCGCTGTAAAAAAAACAACGAATTATTCAATTAGCACATGCGCCCAAAATACATATTTAAAGAACACATGACTAGAAGGTAATTAAACCAGTGTTAAGGCAAAACATACAAATTAAACATGGCCATGTCAAGGTCGGTTCGTCTGCAGTGAAAGGAACTATATAGCTGTGGTCTAATCGTAAATATTGTCGCCAAGCAATGATAGTATAGTGAAGGCTGATATTGAGGAGCCTATCATGATTGGACAAGCCTAACATCAATCATCAAGCCGTGATAATGCAGTGTAACAGACTGATAATGCAGTGCATAATAAGTAAGGAGATAGATGAGGCTTCCCTCCTGCTTTCTTTCACTCTCACAAAATTCTACTCATATATTACTATTTGAAAACTACTATACTATATAATGTAACGTGACGTTAAGCTTACATATTTTAATCAGTCCATCAAAGTGCATCCGCTGACTTATCATCGAGACGCGTTTGCGTTGTAGCGGCGTCGATGCTGTCGCCTGCACATCAGCACCATTGGCAGCTGATGTTGCTGCGTCTATTGCTGCATCCTCCGCCGCTGCGGGCACAGCCTCGACAATCTCACCATTTTCTAGTTGCTCGGCAGCAATAGTTTGCGCCGCCAGACGTTTCACTGACAAATAGGTGCTCAGCGATGTGACGAAAACGAGCACCTCCGGCGCCAGCCATTCAATAATAGCCATGGGCCTGCAAAGGCGCACACAAGAGATTAAGTTAAAGAAATGTAACACATCCACATTCTGATAGGTTGGGGACTTACCTTAGGTCTATGAAGCTCATGAAGCCGATGTGTCGCAGCAGCTGCTCGCTAAACGAGCAATTGTATATGGGTAGGGTGGTGCTGACCGCCAGAATCTGCAGCGCGATGTGGCCTAGAAGGACCAGTGTGCTAAGAGCCAGCAAGATGATGAAGAATGCTGTCACCGAGCCCTTGAAGTTTCGACGCGTCGCCAGTGGTATGAAGGGCGACATGAAGAACATTAGCAGGTACACGAACGATATGCCCACGGGTCGCATGAGCGACGCTGCATAGAGAAGACGAGAACACGGAAAGGATAAAGAGGATATGCAACAGTTTCGTTGGACGGCTTATTGTGTTGTGAACTCACCCAAGACCAGCACCGCTGGCACAACGACACGCTGCAGCACCAGGCAGGCATAGCTGAACGCCATCTCAATGGATGCTTACAGCAGCAGCAACAGCAACACAGGTTGGGGTCGACTGCCTTGGCCGACCACTTGGCTGCCGACGTCGTCCTCGTCTTCTTCCTCCTCCTATCACGTTGTACGTTTCATTCATGAAATTTGTAGTTGCAATTTGTTCCTTTGGCCACCGCTGTGCGACGCAGTGCAGCGCTACAGAGGGCGAACGGGAGATAGGAAGCGGAAAATAAATTAGAAATTATATGAGATGCTGCGAGCTTAGTTTAGCAGGCGCGCCCGAGCACAGCATGACGCAAATAACAGCCAAGGACTCAGCGCCTGTCGCAAAGACATGCTGCACAGACACACCGCACAGACTTTCCGCACCGCAATGCACAGTACGGCGATATTATTTTTCTAATGTTAAACTTAAACAGAAAACTACTTAAGAGGAATGGAGTCCCAACCCATAACATTACCATTTAAATCTTAACGTTACACTAGGTTTTTATTGGAAAATCGCCGATTTTCCAATTATAAAGAACACATCCTTTCATTTGAATGCATTTAAATTCAAATGATATCAGATGAGTCCAATTGTGAGACTTGTATTTGGAATGGGAATAATGGGATAAAGTGTAGCTTCGCCTGTCAATCTTTTTTAAATAGTTGAAAGCTTAGTTTCAGTTTGCACAGCAGTTGATTTGTAAATATTTCTTATAAAGGACATAGATCATAAGTTTTCATCTCAAATTCTCAATTCGGAGGTAGCTTGGAGTCGAAAACCGCAGCTATACTTGAACTTTCTATGAGTGTATATAGTAAGTTTCATACAGTAATAATAATTATATTCTGAAATCCTTTTTTCGTTCGGGAGCTACATTATCTAAGCCAAGGACAGAATCTGCATATATTATTACCACCGTGCATTGTTTGCACCATGGATGGAAAACGGAAAAAGACGAACAGGCACGATTGTCCGGCGGAAACCTGTCTTGAGTTAACACAGTCAAGTGAAGTCAAACGCGAGCTCTGAATGAACAAGTGCCGCGCGGACTAGAGGTATGTGCGTGACAAAAAAAGTCGCATTCATTGTTTCTGTCTATCATGATGAAACGCAAAGTTCAATATAATTGTGTATCTATTATAAAATATATCAAATTCTATTATATTCCTACATTTACTTTCATGGCTTTTCATATTTGTATTATGAACTATGATGATCACTTCTTGCTTGAAACTATTAAGGGAATTTAATTTACTTTGAAGAATATTTACCGATTTGTAGAATTCAATTTAATATTAAACCTAGTTCGTTTTTGTTTGCTTTACATGGCTACTTTACTTTGCAGGAATTATTTTATATGAATCGCTACACTTTTTCGACTTCATTACATCCTTTTACCTCTTTGTCAACACACATCTCTAGCAAGGACAGGCATTGTGGGAGGAACTGTTGCCGCCAGCAAAGACAAGTTTAAGCATGACAGACAACCACGACTATTTGCTTTTTTATGGCCTCAAATTAAACGGGAAAACTAATTTACGGAAATAAACATTGACACACTTTTAATTACAGTTAAGGGCAGACACAAAAAATAGCCAAAACGGACGGGCTTTAATTTTGCAGGTGATTGCGAGAGTTGGGCCCGCCTTAGTTTTTTTTTCGGCTCCGCCACACCATAAGCAAGCAACATGCAAGTGGCAACAACTTGGGAGCGCATTTATGTGGGTGGAGTCACTCCCTGAAAGCCAGTAGCCCCCAAACAATAGCCACAGACGGCGCCAAAGTTGCCGGCACACGCCATTCTGGGTTGGGTTAGTTTCAATTTTTCTTTCCGCTTTTCCTTTGTGAGCGCCCTTTGACATGCCTCTGCTCGTGGTGGAGGACTGGCGTTCGGGGTCACCATTTTATGTACTGGGGGTGGCACAAGCTAGATAAATACTTGATTGATATTCAATTGCCACAACGTTACGTTAGTTATTTGCAACCATTCTAATGCACAAACGGACATTTTATTGGTGTAATAATCCCGTTGACAGTGCAACGAACATTGAAGCGTAATCTAACGAAACCATATACATAGCTATTATTAGATAATGTACCACTTCCAGCCTGACTCAGATTCCAAGGTTCAGAGACATGTTACAAATATTTGCATATTCTTAAAAGTGCAGTTTTATTTAGAAATGAATGACGATTTTGATGCTCTCATGATTGTATGTAAATTGCTTGATGACTAACCTTAAGTTTAAGGTGCATATGAAATATGTCTAAAAAGACGAATAAATGCGTAACTGTAGATCAAAGGCATTTAAACTGAACCGTAACAACAGCAATAACAACATAACAACCATCAATGGGTGCTAATTTCGCACAACAAAGCAACAACTATGACGTAATCCGGCATGTAGAAATGTTAAATATTTCATTTTCTCATTTTTGCGCTTAGCGTACAGGAAAAATAAAAATGCTGGTATTTCTCGCATGTTTGTAAGTACTCGTGTGTATGGATATACAAGTATATAAACAACACAAACGCCAGTCGAGGGATTGCGAATGGCTCTCACATTAGGCGGCTAAGCACACGCTCTGTGAGCTTTTATATGCAAAGTAGGGGGCGGCGAAATCGGAATGACGAAGCATCACAGGCACCGGCACCGGCACCGCCATTCAAACACATCAGCATAATACGGCTAATAGGAGCGCACACACTTGCACATCTAAAAAAAAAAAGCAGATGTACCATAAACGATTGTATGTGCAGACCAAGAGGAAGACGGACCGACAGACGGGCAGAGATATGGGGATCAACAGGCAGGGTGCCAAACCTCAAGTGCCGTCGTCAGAGCAAATAGCGTGGGGCTCGACCAGGAAACTACTTGTACATAGTCAGAATAGTAGGAATATAAAAAGTAGTAGCTGTGATGATAATGATGGCAATGACGATGGTGGAAGCTAAAAGCAAATGTCTAGTCGAAGGGCGCTTTTATGTTTCAATAAACGTCAAACACAGGGCAGTCCATATGCTCGGAAGAATGGAAGATTTGCTTTTTCAACAGACAAACTTGCCTCCTAAAAGCAACAAAAGTTAAGTTATAAACAAAAGTTTTACGAATAAAACAGCTCAACATTTTATAAAGAAATCATTAAACTTTCAAATAAAATAGAAATTATACGTAACCCATTTACAGAGTTGAAGTTTCCCTAATTCAACATATCACAAATAATTGACTTCACACTTAAAACAATTATTTCATTTCTATAACAACTTATAGAACTTATTTCACAATACGTTATACGCTTGGCATGAATTTAACAGATTCATTCGATTCGAGTTAGATGGACAGATGAGGTTTTGCGAAACTAGCCGCCATTCCATTTGGCACGTGTTGCGTTTGAAACAATTCATTGATGGGCCCATTCCCAAAATTTGAATTTAAAAATAAACTCACGAATTCGCCGCAATATGTAATAACAATGGCAAAATCTAAAAAGGCAGTCAGTCTGCCCGAAATGCCAATGAATATGGAATTCCAAAGCAGACCTTAATGCGTGTCAATCGCTACTAATTCATTATATATGCACGGGTCTGTGTCGCTACTTCTCAGCAATATTGAGACACACACGAGACGTCAGTCAGTCAGTCAGTTGGGGCGGCCGCAGCTGTTGTCTATCTACTTGCCTCCTTGCCCCCAGCTATGGGATAACATTGGCCTCCATTGGCCTGTTGCTGCTTCGATTCCAATTCAATGTTTATTATGATTGTCTTTCGTTTGGGGATTCGTTTGCGTTTTGGCGCATAAAACATAAGTGGAATTTCTATATCTGTATTATTATTCCTTCGATTTCTGCAGTTTACTTGGCACACATTTCACATATTGCATCCGCCCCCACCTCCCCAGCTGCTGTATCCCATTCTCTGAGATGAAAACGAATTGAATCGCACTTTGAATAAATATACATTTCTTTGTCATGGCAATCCGCCGATAAATCGGCGGAATATATGCAGTATACAAGTCTATAAATTAAATTATTCTGTTCAATTCAGTCCATCAAGTTCAAACAAAATGTATTTGTTTGTTGTTCGAAAGAAACCTACTTTCCTCAGAAAGTGTCTTGATAATTATTTTAAAATGAATTTCAAAATCGTTTCGTTCGTAATTCACACAAAAGTGGACCATATCGAAAGTAATGAGTAATATCAGAAAGTTTAAAAGCTAAAGTCGACATACTAGGTACTCCTATGCTCGAAAAACGGCGAGTACGACCAGCAAGTCTAGTCCTGAGAATAGATTCCATACGTGAAGGAGAAAAGAATAGCATTTATTTAAAGAACTGCCTACTTTTATGATTCTTTTCATAAATATAGTACATCGATGGTTAATATTCCAATTCATTATGCAGTCCACCCATTAAAAATATATCTTAATTCCCCTCCAAAGGTTGTTGAGACAAGCAGTCTGTATCTCTATTCCACACACACACACCAGACTTACATCCCGACCCCCTCTCCCTCTCTTTGTCGACATAACTGAGCTCATTAGCATCTTCATTGCCATGTCCAGTAGTCACTTGAACTTTGGGGCGCAATCTTCAGTAGACCTCAGCGATATTTGCAATTTTAATTTAACTGCACTTGACAAAGTTCCCTCTTGGTCGGACCTCGCTTTTATGAGTGGTTTCTAAATGCTTAACTCATTGAATACTCGCAGAGTATTAAAGCTTATTACTGCACCCAGTCAGTCATTGGGTCTTGCTCGGCGTGTCTGTTGGCCATTAATTTCACATTAATTACAACGCTAAGGAGTAGTCGGCTTTGGTTTTTAGTGTCCGTTTTAAAACCCCGTAATCCATGGATTTACAGGGCCGTATAGGGGATAGGTGGGTGGAGTGGAGTGGAGCGAAGTGGAGGAGAGGGGAAGTACAGCTGTTGTGTGTGCAGCAATTTATAGTGGCAGTGTTGGTTCCGGATTTTTCAATTCCCTACCAGAATGTAAGTAGCTGTGTGTTTGTGGTTCGTGATGGCATGGCACACACATGTCACACAATTTTCCATAGTCGTTTCACTTACTTACTTATTTTTTAATCTGCTTTGGCTTTATGACGTCACGTTCGACAGAAGAAAAGAATACAAGTATAATAAGTATGTATGTAGAAGCATTGCTTTAACACACAATGCAGTTTTTGTTAACCCTTGCAAGGGTCCTCT